CACTTTCTGTAATTGCTTCCACTAGTAAGTATAGGCACAACAACCAAATTCATTGTTTTTGGTGAAACTGCAGAAGACAACACTGAAATCAACACTTTGAATCTTTTGGGATTCGTGATTTCTATCTATTTCACCATGTAATCCTCATCATGAGTCAATTTTGTCATACACATGGTCTTATATCTTAACGAGGATGGCCATACATAGAGCAAATAACTCACAGAAGATTGCATCCAGGAATCACATTCGAACGTACAGATTCGTGTTATATCACACCATACATATATCAAGAATAAAAAAATTCAATAAACTCAATATAAAACAGTAGCGGAAACTTGGAATAATGGTCAATTTAGTTTATTGTTTTTGATACCCCTGATTCGAATCAGCACGATCTTAGTCTAAATGTCAATTATATGCAGATACATGGCATTCTTTCATTCAAACTAATTTTAATCTAAATATGAGTTTAAAGTCATAAACATACCTTTTGGAGCAATCAAAAGATGTAATAACCTTAGTCCAAAACATGAATAAGATAGATCGAGAAAAACTAGAAGTATAGAGTGTTTGAATCAATATAATTTGTAGAAACAAGAAGGAAGGGTGCAAACCCAGAAAACATAATGGTTGAAATGTCAGGAGCCCTTTTTTTTTTTGTTTTTTTTTTTAAAGACGATGTTGTTTCTACCTATATTCAAAACAAAGTTTAAACAGTGTTGTTCTTCCTATATTCAAGAACAAGGTTATGCGTTTCTGGGTTTGATAAACTTTACGTTTTCTTGGCTTTTGTTTCAGATTCTCGTGTAAAACCTTGAACTCGATGACAGTGTTCAACCTATGCTCTGATACCACATGTAAGAACTTAATCATAGATCATTGACACACCAATTGAATTACCCACACACTAAAACAAACCAAGCAATAAGTCTATGACCAAGAACAAAGATTGTTGTGAACATGCCTGCAGAATTTGAACTCGAAGAAGCCATAGCAGCTTTACAACCAATCAATCTTCTCCTCTCTACAAAACAAAAGTGCTCTCTGAACAGTAGGTATTCAGTACAATATGAGCAGCGTATTTGCAAAAGCAGTGAATGAGGTTCTATATAGTATTAATCCAACTCATTCTCCTATTAGAACTCGTATGGAACAAACCTTATCATACTACAATTGTATAAGACCAATCCGTGCAGAATCCAAAACCCTCACACAATGCAGTACCAAAATACTTACAATCCTACAAGAAAAATGATTTATTCTAGCACACTGCCGAGACAATTCCAACCAAGAATTCATTCAGTATTTTAGCCAACCCTTAATCATGTTTCATACTCATACTCTAACAGAAGAATGAATTTATGAGTTAGGATTTGGAAAGCTACATGTGGTTTACTTCTAGTGTGATCGAAAAAGAAAAAGAAAAAGTATAGTCAATTTGCAAACCGCGTGGTTCATAGGTTCACTTGGAGAGCGTTGTTTAGTGTGGTGTGGACATGTTTACAATTAAGCATGAGGTGGAAGTTTAGCGCTGTTTTGTGTTAGTAGTTTTCATGTGAAAGAAAAAGAGAGCTAGAGAGAAAGAAATAGTAAGAGTTTGATGTTTGCTGGTTGAGGTAAGGAGTTAAGATTAGCTAGGAAAGTTACATAGTCCAATTCTAGTAGTGCCAAAAAAGAAAACTATACGAAATATTCGATTGTTAAACTGGGTACATGGCTCACTTGGAAAGCACTGTTTAGAGTTGGTGTGGACATTTTTTTGGGATAAATAAACAAGTCTATAAGAAACAAAAATAAGCTAAGAAGGCATAAACAAAACACCCTAAGTGCAAGAAAAACCATAACAATCACCTAGTGGTAGACTTGGCCACCAAAGAGCAAGGCCTCAACTTAATCCAAAAGAGGAGCAAAAAGCAAACATAAAAAAAAAAAAAAAAAACTCAAACGGAACCTAAAACAAACAGAGCCCAGCCTAAACGAACTCGAGCAAACTAGGGCACCACTAACACAAATCATAACCATAGAGACCGAAAACCCCAGCCGCAAGCAAACGAGCGAAAGCAAAATCACAACCCACGGCTTAACATGATTAATAACCAAATCCTGAAGTCTAGAATGATTAATAGCCAGCCTCTGCGGATTTCTAACACAATTAATGACAAGTTCAAATATTTCAGGAGATAATCAAAACACTAGCAGAGAAGGATGTTGATCCCTTTCCAGTCGTACACATGACAAATAACCAAAACATGCTAGTGCAGACATCAAATAACATCCACATTAAATTTCAAATTATCATGAGTGGAAACATCCGCATTAAAGTTTTAGCTCACACTTGTTCCTTTCTTTTTCATCCAATCTGCCGTGCTTTTCAAATTAACAACTACAAATTACTCAAAAATAAATAAAAGAATATACTAACGTATCAAGAATCTTCGAATCTTCGAATCTGAGTGAGTTCATACATTATTTCTTTATGGTGTTTCCTCGAATCATAGTTATGGTGTTTGATGAATCATAGTCCGGTACGCCTGAGAGCCTGATGAAAACCCAGAAGGGAAAAAAGACTAAGGACGCTGCAGTGCTAAAGCGCGCTGCAGTTAAAAACCCCTCAAAGCATTTGGAGATGTGACTGTACATTTTTCAGCCGGTTTGATGGTTGTCGGCAGTATAAAGATAGGGGTTTGGTATTTCTCGAACCCTAATGTCTGCGTTTCTTCTATACATGATTTTACAAAAAAAAAAGGTCTGTTTTCCATGAACCGGACCATTTAATGGTCCGGGTTTTCTTGCCGTTGGATCAACATCTGACAGTTCTATTATTAAGGTGACAAAGCATCAATCATTGGGGGTGCGAGTAACTTTCTGAAGGAGCTAGAGCAACAAGTGCAATGGTGGAGAGCCATGCAAGCCTCAAAGTAAGATCCAAAAGGCTCCCAAAGCAACTCCTGAAATTGTTTTAGGGTTGCATGATAATGACCTCACCGTTCTCCATCTCAATGTTGTCACTGCTGATGATATTGTCCTCCATTCTCTCAGTCCCAAGGTAATTGGAAAATCACTTCGAAAATTAATTTTGTGCAGAAAATTAGAAGATTAAAATTAAGGATATATATATATTATGAATTTTTAAAAATTAAGCAGGTTGAAGATGAGTGCACGCTGGCTTCAGTGATGAAATTGTACCAACTGTCCATGAGATGCTAGCCAGGTTCAAGAAGAAGCAATGCTGTTTTGGACTGATCATCAAAACCTCGCTTTTAAATAATCAATTACCTTTTTTTCTAGACTTAATTATACCCTAAATATGATGTCATAGACTCATGTCTGGGTGTTTCCTATCTGGTCAAAATATTCTGACTAGTAATTTAATTGGCAACCTCATTACTTACAACCATTGAGAGACGCTTTCGGTTGATCGGATGGTTAAGAATGATTGTATACTCTGGTATTTCTATTAATTAGCTTCTCATATATTGTATCATCAAGTATCGAACCTGTGATAGATTTTAGAAGAATACGAAAAGAGTTCTTTAAAAGTATTAGAAAGAACATGCAGCTCATTCTTTTATATTTCATAGGGAGTACCTATAAGTTTGTACCACCTATTGAATAAGTAGTGCAAGCATCAAGAGAAGGCGCACCCTCACTACAAAAAGAAAATAGGATGGCTTTCTCGACAAAATTGTTTGTCGATAAATCTCAAAATTTGCCGGAAGCGCTGCCATCAGTGCCATGCATGAGCAACTTTAGAAGAGCTCAGTATATTTTCTCTATAGCATGTCAAAGTTTAAGTAATGCAATGAATATAAAGTTTTCTGCAATACATTAATTCATTTCAGAAAAAAAGGATACATGCTCTCTTTTTGAACACAGACAAGTATCTATTAAACTAGCTAGCTATGACACCACTAAAATTATATCTTAATTGCAAGAGATAATCCCTCTTTCAAAAAATTATTTTGTTAATAAAAAATGAAGAAAAGAGTTGTATTCAAAAGATGACTCCAATCAAGCTATTTGTTCATATTTAAGTCTTGGGTTAGCTTATGTGACAAGAATGGATGAAGTAACAAGTTATAATTATGAATGTTATATACTCCAATTTTAGTAGTGCTAAAAAAATAAAAAGAACACAAAATAGTCAACTGGCAAACCGCGTGCATGGCCCATAAGCTCATATGGTAAACATTGTTTAGAGTTGGTGTGGACATTTTTTGGGCTGAATAAACAAGTATATAAGAAGAAATGTCGTATCTCTACGAGAATGATTAAATAATTCATAACAAACCAAATTCCAATTAATTATTGTAAAGTAAAGATTTTGGATGATTGATTTTATGACCTAATTTAATAAAAAAAGAATTTAATTAAAGAGGGTAGACAAATTTGCAATATTAAAAATGAGGAAAAGGAAATAGTTTTGTAGAAACCAAATTAGGAAAGCACTAGAGATCTGCCGTCACCTTAACAATTCTATATAGTTATTCTAATTACTTATGACCTATATATGCATATTTCGAATGTTAGATTTTCATAATATATGTCTACTTGGACCCTCAAAATACAACATATATCAAACATGCAATCCGTATGTGGTATTAAGATTAAATCTATACATGCATGAGTTATTAAGTTTTGTGAAATTTTTTGAAAAACCATGCAACTCTCAAAACGTGATATTCATCCTAAGTAAACAGAATAACACACCACAAAATATTGCATATTTCTCCACTCTCTCTTTCCGCACCTCTCTCTCTCTCTCTCTCTTTCTGTCAGATAAATTGGCCACAACAGTTTTATCATCATTTGAACTCTGTCGATGACTAATCTAATATCTAATCTAATAAAATCAATCGTTTGGTCAAAAAAATAAGAAAAAAAAAGGTTTATAATAAGCTGATTTATAAAGGGATAAATATCTCATACCGGTGGACATGTGGCCCAATCAGACACAGAGTCCGGGAACCAAAAGAAATTCCTACAACCCGATGACTTGACCCGGTTCCCATCCCTACACCCACACAAGCGCTCTCTCCCTCTTCTGTGTTCAAAGCCGAGAGCCGAAACCCTCAGCCCCCCTCTTCCTCTTCCTCTCTCTCTCTCTCTCTCTCTCTCTCTCTGTCTGCGTTTGAGATCTAAAGCCCTAGCCTCTCTTTTCCTGGTATGTAAATTCCACCGCTTTACATACTTATTGTTAGTTCCAATTTTGTCATTCTTGTTTTCAATTACAAATTTGGGGGCAGATTCGTTTAATTTAATTTCTCTGAGTTTAGTTTTGCCAATTTTTGTGCTGTTTTGTGTGGTTAATTTGTTTATTAGATCTCAATTATTTGATTAAATATGTTATTTGGATAATTGATTAGGGTTTACTGTATAAAGCCTGTAATTTTCAAAAGAAAGCCCAAGAAGTATTGGGTATTTCAAGTTATATACTTGCGTTTGTGTGCTGGCATGGAGTTGTAGGATACATGTCCCAATATCTTAATTGGGTTTTTGATTTATTTCAGTATGTGTCTATCTGTACGAGTTATTGAATCCGATTAGTTTATGGGATATGAAAGGGCTTCTCTCAGTTAGCAGATTGAGTATGGGGTGTGGCGAATTCAGGCTCGAAAGCTCGTACTTTGTTGTATTGTGTGTTGGGGTCAGGGATTTTATTAGTATTCTTTGGATTTATGCAATATTGGGGGAATTTCATGTTAGTTTGTTGATAGATTGTTGAATGGTTTATATTGATTCCATTTACTTTGCTTCCATGATTGATGCCCTTTTTTGCGAATTTCAGTTTAGAAGATGACAGAAGAGCTGGAGTATCGATGCTTCATCGGTGGCCTTGCATGGTCAACATCTGATAGAAGTCTAAGAGAAGCATTTGAAAAGTTTGGAAAGCTCATTGAAGCTAAGGTAATTTTTTATTATATTTTTCCTTTAATGTTTGGAACTTTGGATACAATTTTAGATAGGATATATTTGATTTCAATCAAGCATTTGTTTGTAACTATCTTCTTTCCGTTGATTATTGGTTCCAGTTTTGATATCCTATAAATATGGAAAATATGATTTCGATTTGGTTTGATTGAAAAGTTAGATGGTAATTGTTCATTCTTTATCCAATATCATATTGTTTGACATTCATTATACTCTTCAATGGAACTTCTGTGGTGACAGTTATTTCCTCGTGTAGGTAGTTGTTGATAAGTTTTCTGGACGCTCTCGTGGATTTGGGTTTGTCACTTTTGATGATAAAAAAGCAATGGAAGAGGCCATTGAGGAAATGAATGGATTGGATTTAGATGGACGAACTATCACTGTTGATAAAGCTCAGCCTCACCAAGGTGGTGGAGGTAGAGATTTTGACGGCGACCGTGGTCGTGACCGCGGTCGTGATCGTGACCGTGGTCGCGACTTTGGAGGTGGAGGTGGGCGTGGAGGTGGAGGAGACTGCTTCAAGTGTGGCAAGCCAGGGCATTTTGCCAGGGAGTGTCCAAGTGAAGGTTCAAGAGGAGGGGGTGGCAGGTATGGTGATAGGGATGATAAGTATGGCGGCGGCGGCGGCGGTGGTAGTGGTCGTTATGGACCTGATCGAAATGGAGACCGATCATCTAGTGGGCGCAGCAGGGATTCTGGTAGTCATGGAGGTTCTGGAAGTGATCGATACAGTCGTGACCGCTCTGGCCCATATGACCGTCGGAGTACAGGTGGCTTCCGTTCTGGATAGAACAATTGCGTCCTATAGTGGTACGTAAAACACACTTGTTCAATGATTTTTATGCTTTTCACGGTTAGTATTGTAATGAAGGTAATTTTGTTGATGTGCTATTTGCAGCTTGGGAACCTGAGGAGCTGCTCAGGTGACTGTCTCTCTCTGCACTGCTTTGAAGTTTCCCCTCGCTGGATGTGTCCTCTGATGATTTTCTGGGTTGGACCAGTATTTTGAAGTGCGAATCTTGCATAGATATTCACCTGTTTTTTGTTGCTAAATGCTCGACCGAATGTTTGATCCGATGGAATTTTATGCATGCTTGCAAATGATATTTCAATTTGGCCTTATACTCTATGAATCCATTGCGACTGGTGGTTGTCTGTGACTTTCATTCATTGGTGACTGCAAATGTTATGATTGCTGTCTGTCCCTGTTGACTGTTTTGCTTGGGCACTTGAAATATTGGAAGGTCGTTTGGTTCCTCTTGACTGTTTTGCGTTGGCAATTGCAATCTGGGAAGGTCATTTGATGTTGGGTATGTCGGAGGATAGATTGTGAGGGGTCCGCTATTGGGAGTTTGCATCTTGTTACTTGGAAGTAGAAGTGGTCCTATAAGTAGAACGTCCTTTTGGCTGCCCTGTTTTCGGTATCTTTGCTAGTAAATGGGAGTGAACCGGGTAATACTTTCTCTTATAAGTTACTTTGACGCATGATATATTCTCGTTTGCCATTCCTGCTATAATAATGTTTTTAACCTTTTGGCAGGATCTGGTCTTTTTTGATACATGATATGGGTTTCTGTGTTACTAATTGGACGTGATAGTTTTAAACCTTACTTTTTTGAAAGTCTTTTCGGCCTGAGCAAAGCCATCTGCAATTTAACTCAACATAAAGTCCCTCACGTTACACAGAGCACACCGGTGGGAGAGCTCCCTTTGGCAGGTTCTGCTCTTTTTCGTTACATGATTGGGAAGTTTCATTCTTGCTGAGTTGAATAACTGCTCGATTGTTTTGTTCTCCGGGTCCCCCGTATCACATTGCACCTGGGGAATTGCCTTGTTTTTCTGTTCCTGCCCGTGCTTTGTTTGCTGAGGCGAGGTTGCTCTGGTTCAGTTGTGATGAAGTAGGTATTATTTTTGTAGAATCTAGTTTTTGGGTTATATGATTTCCTGTTCAAAGCTGCTCTGTTTCTTTTCTGGTTAATTTTGAACCCGTTATTGTTCCATTTCTGCTATGGAATGCTGCTGCTTAGTTATGATTACTACTTCTAATGAAGATGTCATGTGTTCTATGGCTTTTATACGTCTTCGAAGTACGGGTAGCACGCCGCTTTTTCAACGTACTCCGTAGCTATTTTTTTCTTGTTTGAATCTTGTATGTATGCAGTCCGTTATTGATTGAGATGGTGCTTTAGGATTTTGTAGTCCTGTTTCGAAATAGTGTCTTATGCATTATGAAAACTGAGCGTCTACATTATTTCGACCACTGGTTCTCTAGCCGGAGAAAGACTTGCTTGTTTCGAGGTCTCCTAGGCGAGTCGTATGCCCCATTATTCTTTTAGCACGCACCATATTGCTGGTGCATGTGTATCACGATCCGGTGTATGCAAGTTTCTCTCCATTAGTAAAATGACTGTAATCACAACCCATAGTCATGTAGGTGAATGATAAGAGCATATGTAATGGAAGCCTTATGGCACAGGCAAATTTATAATCTTGCCTAAAAATTGAAAAAACTTCTGTTCCAATAAAATTTGCCTAGTCAAATTGAAGCATAGGCATTGTGCGAGGCCAAATTAGCCTCAGCCCAAGACTTGGGCAGCGTGAACTCACTTAAACATTTAGAATTCTAACTCCTAATTTTTCACCACTAAAATTTAAAAAATATTGGCCTACTATATCATCGTTTTGAGGGCCTAGATTCTGCCTCTAGCTCCCAGACCAATCGCGCAATGTCAAAGTTAACTTTCCATTGTGGAAGTGCAGTTGAGTAGATCGTCACAGTAACATGACCGATGCATGGACGTTCTTCTCCTTAATTTAGCTTCCCTGATTCTATTTCTGCTGTCCATCTCTCATTCACTTGGTCCGAATACAGTTGATCATAATTTGGACCATTTGGTGATGTTGCACCCCCTCAAACAAGAAATGGTGACCAGTACACAAGGTTGGAAGGAGATGCAGAGAAGTGAAGAAAAAGATAGGTAAGGACGTCATGATCATTGATCAGGTTCTTGGAACGAATGTTTCGTTAGCCATCGGTTTCCTCTTTGCGTGCTAGCTTGAAATTTCAAAGAAATATATCACAAGTCGGAAAGTAAGGAGAGCCCTTAGCCACGCAACCCTATAAAGGCATGAGATTGGTTTTAGGTTGAATCCTCATATGTGGATAGGTTCCAAATTTCATTCCATGAAAGCATGAGGAGTTCGTTAGCTACCTGATAAGTTGGCCGGCACACATTTGCGGAATCTTGCCTATCAGCTGTTGGCTGCACATGCATAATGCATATCCACCGACTGATCAATAGGAGTGCTACTACGAGATTGTCAAAACAGGATGTAGTACACTGGAGATATAAATAGAAAGGTTGTTTGCACCCAGCATCATTCATAATACTTACCCGTCGACTGAGCAATAGGAGTATTATCATGAATTTGTCAAAACAAGATTTAGTGGGCGGGAGACATAAATAGAAAGTTATTTGCGCCTAACAGCGTGCGTAATGCTTATCAGTCAACTGAACAATAGGAATATTATCATGAGTTTGTTAAAACACGATCCAGTGGAGTGGAGACATAAATAAAAAGTTATTTTTGCGCTTAGCAGCGTGTGTAATTCTTATCATTTAACCGACTAATAGAAGTACTATCATACGTTCGTCAAAACAGAATCCAGTGGACCGAGCACTTAGCAGCATGCCTAAGAGTACTATCATGAGTTTGTCAAAACAGAATCCAATGGACTGAGCGCTTACAGCATGTCAATGCTTAGCGATCAACTGATCAACATGGCCTCGCTTGTTTGACTGGAATGTTAATATCGGAATAGTGATCGAATTCAATTCCTTACTTATTCTTGAATGAATTGGTTGTGTTATTTCCATTTCAAATGTTTGGTTAAACTAAGGAATTATGATAAGGAAATCCTCCAACCTTTTTCGGGCCATGGCAGATCTGCTGTGTGCTCTCTCACCCACTCCATCACCCTTCATTATCGCTTCTTCCCCCTCCTCCTCCGCTGACCTCACCCACACCTAGCGGCATAGTCTGTCACTACCAAACCACACGAAACTGTCAGCCAACAGATTTCTGAAGAAGACAATCTGCTCCACCATGATCCTAATTTTTTTAATTTTTTTTTTTTATAATTTTGTTGACCATCGGATTGGCAGGTTAGCCACAGATGCTGGTTCGTGTGTGTTTCAGTCTTGCAACGACAGAGGGGCAGTTGGTGTAGATTAAATGGGAATTGTTTCCCGTGAAACTCATCTCTTGTTTCCTTTCCTAGCCTACCCAAACGTTACAACTCGATTGAATGAGAAATGAATTCCCATTAGAGGTATAGATTACCGCCAAACAAACGCGGCCTATGAGTACTGTCATGAGTCTGTTTAAATAGGATTTAGTGGACTGGAGATATAAATAAAATGTTGTTTGCGTCATGATATGCTTATCCGTCAACCGATCAATATAAATGAGTACTATTGTTACACATCTAACTGAAATATTTTTGTTCTCGTTTCTATTTATTGTTAGTCTTTTTGAACTTTGGTCACTGGAGTTTGGATCGAACTCTTTCAGAAAATAACCAGTATTATGATAAGGGTGATGTTACAAAGACCACATTTTGTAAATCACATTTGAACCATTTATCTAGTAGAGACATGGCTCACCAAACTAGCCAATTCTACTGCTATTAGAGAGATGGTTCACATGTGGTTTACAAAATATATATGGTCTCTCTAGTATTTTCTGTACATTTTCTGTATTATAATATTTTTGTGAAGAAAAAGCTACTTAAGGACATCATGATTGGGTGCGAAGGGATTGTGTTCTTTTGGCTGTCTTGTGATATTATCCATCAACTCAAAACGATTCCGACACCGGATTGTGTTCTTAAAGCAAGTAAGAAGAGCAGTATTCCAATTGTACAAATGATAACTGATACACACTGGAACAACAATTTCAAGAGAACAAACGAAACCTAATGCTTTGTAGAGTACACCAAGTTAAAACAAGGGAAGAAAAAGAAGCTGGAAGTTGCCTTTGTTCTACATTAGCAGATTCAGTATCGTCTGTAATAAGCGTTTTTTTATGAAGAACTAGTAAATGCAGCATCATTTATCTTTGTTTTCAGTCGATGTTTTGTTGTCCATATAAGGATATTCAGATGGGGTTGTCCATCGACCGACCAGTACTACTGGTTGAAGAAAAAGAAACATTGCCGACGAGTACATGCTTGACGGCCGGAAAGACATTCCAGCAAAACTCCACCCTAATAAACAACATTAGATAAGGTAAGCTATGGAAATACCAAGAGTAGTTAGAACTGATAACGCAATAATCGAGCACATACAATCTGCCTAACTGACTTGAAGAAACTGTACATACATAGTATGTTAGGCCTTCTAAGCAACTGAACTTGAAGGCAACTGCATGTGCATGTTACCATGTTAGGCCTTCTATATATGTTCTTCGAGGTTCTGGACAATGTAACCAAAACAACAAAAAGCCTACGCATTTGCAACCAAGTTGGCAATTGTATGTTAATTTTCTATGTTCCTAGATGAATGGCATGTTTGCGATTGAGTGTGTGACTCGACTTTTATGTCATCATATGTCAAGGGAAATCCATTTTTTAAGTTATGCACAACCCTCTCTCATTTATCTATCGGATTGAACACAAAATATTAAAGGTTGGAATTAAAAAAGCGTGCATAAATTACTCTTTTATATTAATAAATGAATCATATCCTTCATTTTATTTTTTTTGTTGGCGAAGAGATAAAAGAGAATGGCAATAATTTTGCATAAATGTAAGAAGGAAACTGATGAGTGCCTTTCATTTAAAAGGAAATCGATATGTTTAGCACCAAAAGGTTAATGGAATGGAATTTGTGTAGAATATCTGTACTGTACTTCCTTCTTCCAGGTGTGATGTACGTGTATGAATATAACAAAAACAATATTTAGCTTGAAGCCACCGTTTCGAGTTTAATTGTACACATCTAACAAAGATATCTTTTTTCTCGTTTCTACTTATTGTTAATCTTTTAAATTTTAGTCATTGGATCGAGCTCCTTCAGAAGATGGTTAGTATTATGATAAGAGTGATGCTAGAGAGACCATATTTTGCAAATTATATTTAAACCATCTCTATTAGAGATATAGCTCACCAAACAAGTCAGTTCCACTGCTATCACAAAAATGACTCACATGTGATTTACAAAATGTGATATCCCAAGCATCTTCCGTATGATATTATTTCGTGAAGCAAAAGCTAATTATGGACACGTCATGATTGGGTGTGAAGTGACAAACTCCCCTACTATGCCCCGATCGACCACGAGCCCTGCGTCACACTCGTCTATCGAAGCAACGAAACTTACCTATCTATCGTATGGTAAAAACCCCGCCCTAGTAGACAATTTGTCACCTGCGCAGGATATAGAAATTAACTAAAAAAACTAAATTAAGAAGTTGTGTTGCGTATATAGGATAATCATCTACCTCTAATTATTCAATATCTTGAAGTGTTAGGTTTTATTACTTCTGAAAGCGCATGTGCATTAGGGTGTTGAACTATCTTGTGTTAATTCCGTACGTCAAGACCTGAGATGGTTAGCTCTTTCTGCAACTAAACATTCATGAGTCGACAATTAACTGTTTTCTAGCAAGCTAGGTACCTCATCTAGGGCTTGATGGTTACTATAATTGGAGGGTGAGTGCAAGTTTCTCTGCTCATACTTGTTTTTTCTAGAATTTTTTTTTTTTTGTTAAAAGCATGTTGCAAGTTTTATTAACCTTTCTGAAAGATCACTTTGAAGTGTTTTTTGAAGAAGCATTTGGTATGTGGTTTTCCAAAAAAAAAAAAAAAAAAAAAAAAAAAAAAAGAAGAAATTTCTATTAGCTCAAATTACTTTTAACATTTCATGTCGAAAGTAATTAGAAACACTTTTAGTTGACAGAAACTGCTTACATTCCAAAACAATCACAATAATCTTTAATTAATCACAACCAATAAATGGTTGCATATCATGATAAGGCTTCCAACGTTATTTGATGGAACACAACTTAGTTACACGATGATTTTACACGTCTACCTCTATGCAAATGGTGTTGGCAACAGCTGCAAAACCACCACTAGCAACAGCAACAATAACAAAACAAGAACAGAAGAAATTGAACATAATGACAACAATAGTACGCATTTTAATCAGATTCCCAAACCACTAGACCCAATTAACTTTGTGAGTCCAAAAGTTATTGCCATAGCCATCCATCCTCCAACAAGTACTCTTGCACAAGACTTCCCCACTGGTGACCCCCCCAGCCTAGCCCCTACCCCTCCAAACACAATCAGCGCGATGCTCACCAAAACTGCCACCACGGCCAGCCTCATCTTGTGCTCAGTTATAAATGCTGCTCCCAACAAAGGCACCACCGCACCTATCGAAAAAGCAATGGCCGACGCCAAGGCGGCTTGCGCTGGATTTGGCAGCGACTTCTTCTTTGCCTCCTCTCCGTTCTCTGTCCTACCATTTGCCTTCATCTCTCTCTTCATTTGAGATATCTCTACGTCGTACTGAGTGTACACAGACACAAACTCTCCTATTGCCATGCTACATGCCCCGGCCACAAGCCCCGCAAACCCGGCAAGAAGCATGGCCTTCACATCTTGTTTCACAGCTCCCACACCCATCATGAGCGATGCAACGGAAACCAGCCCGTCATTGGCTCCCAACACGGCAGCGCGAAGCCACTGTGTCCTCTGGGAGTAGTCGAAGGTGTCACCTTCGTCGTCTTTGGGGATTGGAGATTGTCTTGGTTGATCAGTCACATTTCCATAAACTGGAATTTCTATGTGGTTAGTTGAAAATTGGTCACGTTGGGAAGCCATATATGAAGTTTTGTGTAGGATTTGGTATGGACAGAAAAGAAGAGAGATTAGGATATTGATTGCTTGTGGAGGACACACGCCCGTGTTAAGGTATTTATAGGGAGGTGCGTACGGTTTTATGATTTTTCTGTCGTGGTTAGTGCACATGTTGATGGACCATTTTTGGAGCTAAGTGGTGATGAGGAGGGAAACACCATATGTGGATGGCATTACCCGTGAGAGTTACTTTACTTAATCAAGATTAATGGTTGAATGGTTGATCAAATTATGTTTTGTACAATTAAGGAGTCATTTCTCACTCAAACTGAGTTTCAAAGACGATAAAATGTAAATTTTATGTAAATTTTTAGAAACATTCTAGTGGTCCACTACTAATCAATATTGATAATGTCTTCAACTTAATCATCGTTGCAATTCAATAAATGTAAAGTTTTATCATCAAAGACCTCACTACAATTTAACTTCATATGATTTTCGATGTGAAACATGCATCAACACATATATCAAGTTCTGATTTGTCTGAAATGATGAATACTCTCTTACAAATAACGAGCTAAATATTTTCCCGCTTAAAATGTCATTTTTATCGGTTTTGGGCTCATTTCTTCCATATTGAGTGCATACATGCATATCCTATTTTGGAAATTTGAGACCTTGTTCACTTTGGTGGCCTTTGTGTGTGCATCTTAATCAAATCCACAAATTGTGTATGTAGTGACGAAGTGCTATAATTGTTCAAATACCTGAAAGTGTAAATTATTTGAAGTGCGCATTCCACACAAATGCCACCATCAAATTACCAATTAAAGAATACATATTGACCGAAAGAGAAATCCATCTTTTGTAGATTTTGGTAGAAAATATCATTAATCAAGTGAGTGGAGTGTGCATTCCACACGAAAGCTTGTGGATGTTGGTTTTTATAGTGCAAAAAAGAAGGGTACATTGTTGTGGACAACTAGCCTTAATCCTTTAAAACTTCCCACTAAAAGGCAATTGGTAATGTACTTATAATGCTGTTTAGTTTTTAATTAACCCTCTAATTAAGGATCTGACTTGGCTGCTGCTGCATAAGCAATGATCATCTTCATATGCTATACTCATATCATCATATGAATGCAGTGAAGAAAGTTAAGATTCTATGTACGAATATGATATGAAAAACATGTTAAGGGTTGCATTTTTGTATAGAAAGTAGTCCAATTACTTATAAGCACATACAAGGTCCCTTATTTTCTAATGTGAGATTGATAATCTCTAACATGTCCTCTCACGTGTGGCAAAATTTTCAAGCCTAGCACATGAACAATACAAATGAGGTGACGTAGAGGACGTGTGGCCATTAGGCTTTACACATGAAACAACCTACTATGATATATAACATGAAGAAACTTGAGGCTCCATCAAAAAACCGATTGGAAATATGAAAAGTAGCACAATTTCTTATAAGCACGTACAAGATCCTTTCTTTTTCCGACTGGGGATTGATACTCTCAGCATGCAACAAGCCATATTGTCAAGAGAAATGATTTCCGCCTTATTGTTTTCTCATTCTGCACTTATCCCTTTGTCTAATGTCCCTTAATTTTCTTTGATTTATTCCCCCAAACAGCTAGAAAAAGAGAGGTGCAAAAAGAGAAATAAAGGACATTGTTGAATATGCTTGTACAACTTCTGAGTTATAAGAACTATAAATTTAGACATGTTCCCACTGATCCGTTAAAAGTGAAATAAAGGACAAATGAAAAAGCAATGGCGATTTGCACATCTGTACCAGCAACATTTGTGGTGTTCAAAGAATTGGTACTTTTATTCATCTGTGAGAGAAGCTCTCATCAATTCCAACTGCAAACCATGGATCCAACAAATTCACTAGTCCGTTAATACAACCTGCGATTCACGAAAGTTACGAATATACAAAGAAACGGAAGTAGTAAGCATTCGTTTTAGATCAGATATCCGCTAAAGGTTTTCTAAACAGAAGATGAACACTATTAAGCATACAAGAACTTGGTTAAGCTACATGTAAGGTTTGGTTAGCAGCATGTACCAAGACTGACGTGGAAAAATGTCAATAGCTGAATGAAGAAAGTGAGGCACTCTCACCTTTTGAAGAAATTATCTTCAAGTTTCACGATAGTTTGGTATGGGCACTCCCGATGCTTCTGTCAGCTCCTTGAAAGCATTCTGCAATCTTCGAGTCACAGGCCCCACTTTTCCTTCACCAACTTGGCGACCATCAATCTTTATGACCTGGTAAACAAAATCCCATCAACTAAGTATTACTTCTTGTGAAGAGGACCATTTCAGCATCAATGAACGGAAGCATGAACAGTTGAATATGTAGTATGCAAGGCACTCACCGGAGTGAGTTCTCCCATTGTTCCTGTAGTCCATACCTGCAGGGCATCCATAATAGCTGTAAATGATAATTACGTAATACAGAACAGATGAAGAATATGTTCAAAACAAACACATGGGAATAACACTTCCATTAATAAGTATATATTAAGTAACCAACTATGCGTATTTATGTAAGAAAACCTCATCAGCAGTATGGAACTCTGATAGGCTGATCCTTCTCTCCTCTAAGACCAACTTCTCCTTCACTACAAGATCTATCACCTGCAAATTCGATAAGATCATTGAGTCGCAGGAAAATCAGGTGTAAAATATTATCGCTACTTTGTCAAGGGTCAATGTACTCAGGCTAATATCTCATTATCACCAAAGTGAAGGATAAAAATATTTAAAATTCATGGAGAACGATGGCAATTCCAATAATAAGAGGGAAATCTACAGAACTTACAGTTGCTCGAGTAATGCCAGGAAGGCAGTAATCAGCATGAGGAGTCAAAACACGGCCTTTCTTCACCAAAAACTGCATAATCAAACACAGGAGTTTGTTTACAGTGTGGATGTCACGTAATTTGCATGGAGTGAAAGGAACTGATAGGACGTGATAATACGATAGCAGAAGTCCCTACAGCATTGCTTACATGGAGTGAAAGGAACTGATAGGATGTGATAATACAATAGCAGAAGTCCCTACAGCATTGCATTACTTAAGGACAGGCCTAAATTTTGTGCTCATTAAAAATGTACGAACTAGAAAGTAAGTTGATCCAGCCCTCTAACATTCACTTGAGACTAGTTTACATGGATACATTTCCGATCCTTTCACAAATGAAATTCATAAATAACAATGAAAAACTACATCTGGAAAGTGGAACCTAGCCACCAACTGTTCATACAGCACCAAAACCTGAATAGAAAGAGCACAGGCTTACAATGTTCGTAGCATTTGTTTCAGACACATAACCATCCTTGTCAAGCATGATTGCATCATCAACGTTTACATTGTTTCCTTCTATCTGCAATATATTCAAGATGACTTAAACAAATGTAGGTCAAAGTTCTGCAAGATCAATACACGGCGTGTGGCATGTTACTAGCAGATGATAAGAACAGAACAAACCTTTGCAAGTATATTATTGAGTAGGTTATTGTGGTGAATCTTTGAATCCAAATTCTGGTAAAAGAAAAAGGGAAAAAAAAAAAAAAATTAAAAGTCAACGGATATAGCAGAAAAATCAATCAGACAAATGAAGCACGAGAAAAGAAAGAGAAAAATGAGAAGACTACATTTGGTGAATTACGACGGGTGGTAGCTGTAACAAGAGTTATTCCCTTTGTATTGTCATAGACCGGGGGCTTCCATTCAGGAAGCACTGCATGTTTGGAGAAATAGAAAGTACAGCATTAGAAAGACCAAAAATTTTACTAGCGCATTACACAATCAGCTTAGGTTTCTTTTTTCTCATAGCAAAGAACAGAACATGCATGTCAAACAAAATCAAATGTTGCATGGGAGGGCAGAGGATTGAGATTTTTATTGTACCAATCAAGGTGCATCCATAGAGATTGAATGCTGGGCTCATGCCAGAAGTAACCTGAAGATGACAAGAAACGATAAAATCACTCGAGGAATAAAGAGTGCACCAAACAACTACACCAAAAATATTCAATCAAAAACTTGTCCCAACTTTTAACATGAAATTAAAGCGGACACACTCGCAACAGTCTGCTACTCACCACTTTTATCACCACCAAGCTTATGATACTTAATGAAAAAATACCTCGTAATACTTTTGATGGAGCCTTACCAGGTACCATTGATGTAAACATTATTAACCACGGAGACTTAGGGTCTATTTCATTGATTCCATTTACTATGTCCCATTCCAGCCCAAACCATTTTGCAAACCATAATAAACAATGCAACTACAAAAACAGCAGATAACAAATCTCTAGCTAAAACTGATATCGATGCCACATAAAATGCATTACCTTTTTGCCACGTGTCAGACTTAATCGGATGTGTGACTTGTCGAACATTCCATTTCGAATAAGAGTTCTAAAGATGGCTTCCTTAACCTGAAGAAATGAGATGCAGTACTAGGATGAGCTGACGACTCATTTCCATATAGGCCAAATCTACTGAAGAAAAAATCTCTTCACATAAGACCCAAGACGATGAATTGAACTCTCACCTCTTCGCGAGTAGGAACATTGTTGAATGCCAAAGCCTTTGCAGAGTCAAATAACCTATTGGTATCAAAATAATGCATACATTAGGTTAATGAAAGGATAAGATTCAACATTAAAGATTAACTCTTTCAAAGGATATTAAGCATCGCCAACATATCATAATAGAACATTCTAAATTATAAGTTTTTCCAACTTATCAAGTCACCAGGAATCAATCTCATCGAAAATCAGATTTTCTCTCCTCTTACCTATCTAAATGCTCTTCAAGCTTGAATATCTTCCCATCATAAACTCGAAGACCTTCCCAAACTGAATCACCGCCTTGGACAACCGAGTCAAACACAGAAACCTTAGACAGGATACAGGATAAAAATAAATATCCAACCTTAGCATTAAAACAAAACACTGGAGTGATTCTGTCGGCTGGAGATCATCAAGTATCTTGCGCACAATTACCTTTGCACTATCACGCGGTACAATCTCATCACCAACCCATGCAAGTAGCTTCTTATTTTCTGGAACTGGAAGATCGGGATCAGGCAAAGGAGACTTCAGAAGGCTCGATGTCTGCCTCATATGGCGCCTAAGAAGGTTGTAGAATGGTAGGCTTTGCTCAAGCACGTCATACAGAGACATAGGGAATGGCTGAAAAACACAAAAAGAGCATAAGCTCAAACAAAACATTCAGTAATGTCATAACTTGAGTTGCCAATATCTTTTATTTTTGGATGATCTTTGCGTCCAGTTTTTCCATGCGACAAAAATGACTAGTTCCTTGACTGAAAATACAACACTTATGGTTTCAACATATCACAAATTTAATGTAATGCAATGCGCAAATATCATACCGCAGGATATTTTCTTGGTGGTTGAAAGCCTGTCGATTTATGCACAGTTGCGTACCACCATGGAGCCCAAACACCATCTATTGCTTTTGGACCGGCCTCCCATCTAAAACAGATAAAAAAAAATCATTGGGAACTTGTCATGCACAAAAAAAAAAATAAATAAATAAACTAAACTACAAAAGCAACATTTATGTTAAAAGAACTAAAAATAGACAAGAACACTATCAACTTAAATGGAATAGCTTTTGCATACTTGAGCATTGTGGGCTGAAAAGGAATTTCCAAGTCTTCACAAAGACCGCTTAATGTAGCCTAATCATCAATGAGATAAAGGGGAAAAGAAAACAGAAGATTGAGAAAGTTTTACTTAATCAATACATAAACACTATGCAATGCTTGGTCAATGCAGAGAAATCACTTGTGATAAGTCATGAATCTGTATCAAAAAACTCTCTAATACCTCAGGATCTCGTTGAAGTTCTGCTGCATCAACAACGGGAGGGGGTCGCCCCAGTTGCGAGAGCTCACTATATATGGCGACCATTTCTGCTAAACTTAATTCAACAAGGGATGGAGGAACAACCTTCTCAAAGGATGGCTGACAAACATCGAACAGTAAAGTCAGCAGCCTAAGATGTGAAGCATGGCTAAATTCAAAATTACCAAGACCACAAAATAGATTTCACTCTGTTTACGCACACAGACTCTTACCAAAATATCAAGTGGATTCCGGATCAGAATGAAGTGCTTTCCTTTCTTCATTAAATCATTAGGTAATCCAGGCACACGTTGCTTTGCGATATGCTGCAGATCACGAAAATACTGACATCAGTATTGAATCAACTAGCAAAAACACCGAAACAAAAGCATTTTCTGGGGTGGTCCAGATAGGATAACAAAAACACAGCCATTAGCTTGCTCAATCAGGGAAAATATCGTTTATCACCTTACAGAGGCGATACTTCTTTCTTCCAGGGCCGTAGATGATATCTTTTACAACTTTATTTCCATCAGATTCCTAATAGAAATGACATAAAAATTCAACGTTAAGAGAATCAGGGAAAAGAGAACAAATTGGAGCCAAAACATAAATTTAAATTTTACGATGAATCATGCCAGTTTTTCAAGGGAAACAAAACATTAGGATGCAAACGGCAAAATAAACACGAAAAGACTGTGAACACGAAAGATTCCTTGAAACAAGAAACCAGAATGACGTGTACAAAATAATATTTTTGTGTTTATGATTTTGGGGTTACGATCTCTCTCAAATTTGGTCCTCTGATTCTATCTCCGTAAGATCTAGATTTGTTGATCCAAGGGCCGTCGAGGCTTGATCTTGGATGAACAGTTGTAAGTTTCTTCAAGGGCCTTCGGGGCTTGATCTTGAATGTTGATGGATGAGCGGATATTCAAGGGCTTTTGGGCTTGATCTTGAAGAACGGTTGGTTTTCTTCAAGGGCCGTCGAGGCTTGATCTTGAATGAACAGTTGGTTTTCTTCAAGGGCTTTTGGGCTTGATCTTGAAGGAGGATTTGACGAAGAACGAAGAGTGCTTTCTTGATCCTTCGGAATTCTTGGGAATTTGGATGCTTGAGAGCTTTGGAGTTTCAAAGCTTCAAGGATTTGGGGAATTCTCTTCCAATTTGGGAGTAGAGAAATGTATTTGTGAATTCCTTGATGCTTGATACCTTGATGGAGAAGCCTATTTATAGGCTTTGAGAATGAATCACCACCACAAAATATTTTTTTCCTTTCCAAGCACCATTGCCTAATTTTCCCACTTAATGCAATATTGAAATTGAAGTGGTGTAACTTATGGCCTAATTTCCCACTTAATACCATTTTAAACTTGAAGTGGTCTAACTTATGGCCTAATTTCCCACTTAACACCATTTTAAACTTGAAATGTGTATGCTTTGTCATTGCCCAAATGAGAAAAACTTGCTTTGATCCGTAATGGATTGAAGTGTGCTTACCTTGTCATTGCCCAACATGAGAAGAAAAACTTGTTTAATCCTTCAAGGGTATTTCTTTCTATTTTGTTGAGTCACACGCCATGTGTACAATTTGTACAACACGTGGCGTATGCCATGTATGCCTTGACACGTCAAAACTTTAATGCGTTGGGTGAACATTTGTTTTACTGAAATTTCGATGTCTACAAATGCCCCCACTTCAAGGCGCGTCGTAGACATGTGCTTGTCACGTGTAGAAGATGCGTTTTGAAGTCCCTTAATGTAGATGTCAACCCAAGGGCCGTCGAGGCTTGATCTTGAATTGGGCTGGAAATTTCTTCAAGGGCCATTGAGGCTTGATCTTGAGTTTGACTGGAAGATTTTTTGGTTTCCTCCAATCGTTGATTTTCCACAGGCTTAGTCTTGAACTAGGCTGGAAATTTCTTCAAGGGCCATTGAGGCTTGATCTTGAGTTCGACTGGAAGATTTTCTGGTTTCCTCCAATCGTTGATTTTCCTTTGTGCTACTCTTGAACTGGGCAGCAGGAAATTTCTTCAAGGGCCATCGAGGCTTGATCTTGAGTTCGACTGGAAGATTTTATGGTTTCCTCCAATCGTTGATTTTCCTTTGTGCTACTCTTGAACTGGGCAGCAGGAAATTTCTTCAAGGGCCATCGAGGCTTGATCTTGAGTTCGACTGGAAGATTTTCTGGTTTCCTCCAATCGTTGATTTTCCTTTGTGCTACTCTTGAACTGGGCAGCAGGAAATTTCTTCAAGGGCCATCGAGGCTTGATCTTGAGTTCGACTGGAAGATTTTCTGGCCCCCGAAGGTCTGAGCTTTACTCTTTTTTTCTGTTTCTTTGTTCAATCTCTCCAATTTGTATTGAAGAGGGTTAGAGGATAGCTCAGCATATGCAGTTGTTGCTTGTCTCCACATGCTTTAATGTATCATTTTCACTTGCCTTACTTGCTCCCCTTTGCAGAAGTGGTCCCTTCTCTGGAAGTGTATCAACCGTTGAAGATGACTACTCGAGAGCAACGCTAGGTAAGCAACCAGGGAATAGATTCCAGGCAGTCGGTTCCAGATCAGAAGACTGACTCCAAGTGCCGGCTGATTGCTTCTTTCACTTTGCCATGCGAGTAAGAACAAGGACAAAGGAAAAGACAAGGAAAAAGCATGATATGAGATACCTTTGCTTTCGACCTTGATGATATGAGATACCTTTGCTTTTGAAGAAGCGGCGAATGGATCAGCACATGTATTTGTTGTGCTTGTCTCCACATATTTCAATCTACCGTTTCCTCCTGGGTCATCTGTACTCCAGGCATCTGGTATCTTCTTTGGGAAAGAAGAAAAAATTGAGTATTTCGAAAGGCTTTGCTGGGAGTGCGCCCTCAGAGGTGAGGAAGAGTTGGGCATTTTTTTTTTTCAGGTCTGCCTTGCCATAAAAGATGAAGGTCGACATATATAGGGATTTCCCAATAGCAAGTGGTGGTTATGTTCTTTTACCCTTGTCGACAAACGTCTCTTCGATTTTTTAACAAGCGTCTCTTCGATTTCTGAGCGAGCGCCTCTTCGAAAAAGTAGTCACGGGTGCGGCTCTGTCACCACGCTTGTTGGCAAAGGCGCGTAGTTGGGATGATAACCTTCACGTGTTTTCAACTTTGTCAGAGATCTTTTGACAAAGTTGAACGCGTTATCTGAAAAGCCGCGAAAGCGTCGCCGAACTTCACGCAGGAAAATCCGATTTTTTGAATCGGTGGTCGTGTCGCCTTGGCTTTTTATAGAGGTATCGATTACCTCCAACATGCACACTTTGAAGATCGCCCGTTTGTGAAAATCGTCTTCGGCTCTTTCTGATTTTACTCCATCCACCTTTCTCTTTTAACCTTTTGACAATGGCTAACCCGTCTAACATTTGCTTAGATTTAAGTCTCAGCAGTGATCCGAGTGCGCCGCGTCAGGTAAATGTATGGTGCCCTTCTTTCTTATCTTCTAATGGCCCTTTGACGGGTGAAGATTCTGTGATGAAGGACGCAACAACAGCTACGATAGTAGCTAGAAACTTCCTCACTCCAAAAGATAGTAGGCTGCTTTCAGAACGGTCCGATGAGTTGGCCGTTCAAGAGTCCCTAACTCTCAGTGTTCAGTGCGCAGGCTCTGTGTCCAACATGGGCCAACGCCTACTTGCTCGATCCCGCCAAGTGGAATCATTGATGGCGGAGGTGGAAACTCTTAAGCAAGAGATCAAACAGCTTAAGCACGAGAATAGAAGTTTGCATGTGCTTGCAAATAACTATTCGACGGGCATGAAGAGGAAGCTTGATGAGCTGCAAGAATCCAGTGGTCGAATTCAAAGTGACCGTCAAAGACTTGCTGCTTTCTTCCAGAGGCACATTTTTCCTGGCTCATCTAGCGTTCCACCAAGTATTGAGGCTTCTTCTTTGATGCCTCCCGCTTCTGTAGTTTCCCCAAGTAGTGGGGCTTTACGTGAACAACCTTTATGAAAGCTCCATCTCTCTTTCTTTTTTTTTTTTTTTTTTTTTTTTTGGTACGCACTTGTAATTTCTCGGAGATCAATGAACATGCTTTATTTTATTTAGTGTATTGTGCTAAATACAGATAAAACATATACATCACCAAGATGTGTTATTTCCTTTTTTTTTTTTTTAATTTTTTTTTTTTAATTTTGATGATGTGACTGTACTTGAAGTTTTGAAGTTTCAAGTTGCCTACGTACCCTTGGTTGAGGAGGGATCAAGTCATGACGTAGTTCAAATGAGTGATGGTTTTGATGATGATTTTGATGATGATTTTGCCGTACACAGTTTATGCTCTTGCGGGCCAGGAGCGTTTTGGTGCCGTTTGCAGTTTCAGCTCGTGCAGGCAAGGAGCGTTTGTTGTCACCTTTTAGGCTCGTGCGAACGAGGAGCTTTGGTTGTCGCCTTTTAGGCTCGTGCGAACGAGGAGCGTTGGTTGTCGCCTTTTATGCTCGTGCGAACGAGGAGCTTTTTTGAATTTGTCAAACGATCTTAGAGAGGCATTCCTTGCAATCTTCATAGCAAGGAGTCCTGACTGAGTGATTGAAGAAGTCTTTGGGGAAGAAATCGCGCATTGTGATGGCAACGGACGATCTTTGTGTCATAACTTCCTCATCCTCAACACTTTCATGTAGCTTTGAAGGTTGACGGTAGCTGCTTTGCCCCCTTTCCGATTGGTGAACTTGTGGAGGAGACCTATGTTTCTTGTGCATTTTCTTTGGAGTGACATAAGTCCATCCTTCAACTTCACTTGACGTGACTGACATGGTTTTGGAGCATGCCCCCAACGGTTGAGGTGAAGATTTTGAGTTCAAAGAGCCAGAAGTGACGGTGGTATAGTTTGACTTCACCACATCATTAAGATCTAGCTCGATGATCCCTTTCTGAGCTAACTTCATGATGAGATCTTTTAGCACAAAGCACTTTTCCGTCGGATGACCAATGAAGCGGTGGAATTTACAGTACCTTGGACTGTCAGTACGGTTCATCTCTTCCGGCCGTTTGCACTCAGGTAGGTCGATCACCTTTTTGTCAAGCAAGTCTTTCAACATGGCAACCACGTCAGAGTCGGGGAATGGATATGTCTTCTCCTCAAGCTCCTTCAAAGTGCGTCTACGTATCTCTTGATCACGAAAAGCTTCGGTTTGAATCGCCTTGCCTCGTGTATGGGTTTTGACTGGAGTTGTGTTGACCGTCATTGCTTCCTTGGTGGGTTTCCACGCAGCCTTATCCACCTTGGGCCCCAAAACTTTGTCATTCTTGTAGTCGGCGATCTGTTCTTTCTTCTCATGACGGGTGATGCTTAACTCCATATCATGGGCACGGGTGGCTAACTCCTCAAATGTTCGTGGTTTAATGCCTTGAAGGATGTAGTGTAGTCCCCACTGCATGCCTTGAACGCACATCTCAATGGCAGAGATTTCAGAAAGCCGATCTTTACAATCCAGACTTAAGGAGCGCCATCTATTTATGTAGTTGATGACAGGTTCATCTCTCCACTGTTTCGTACTGGTCAACTCTAGCATGCTTACAGTACGACGAGTGCTGTAGAAACGGTTGAGGAATTCCTTTTCTAGCTGGTCCCAACTGTTGATAGACTCGGGTTCGAGGTCGGTGTACCAGTCAAAAGCGTTACTTTTCAGCGAACGTACGAACTGTTTGACAAGGTAGTCTCCCTCTGTCCCAGCATTGTTGCAAGTTTCAATGAAATGGGCGACATGTTGCTTCGGGTTGCCTTTTCCATCGAACTGCATGAATTTTGGGGGCTGATAACCCCTTGGCATCTTCAAAGCATCAATCTTCTTGGAGTAAGGCTTTGAGTACAGTACGGAGTCATGCGAGCTTCCTTCGTACTGTGTCTTGACAGTGCTTGCGATCATCTCCTGTAGCTGCTGGATAGAGAGAGATTCCATGAACGCCGTTGCTTGGTCTAGCTTCAGCTTCTCTTCGACTTTCTCCACTGGAGGCTCCTCTTCTTCGTCGACTTCTTTCTTTAATAGGCCAACATTTGGGTCGACTTTCACGTCGGGCAGCGCATCTAGTTGGTTGACAAGTGCGGCAATCTGCAAGTCCTTCTCTTCCACAGTCTGTGTAAGCTTTGCAATTGCTTCGCTCATTTGAGCCAGTTGTTCTTCAACAGAGGTGACGCCGATGGTCATGACTTGTGCAACCAATAGACATGACTTTCCTTCAGACATCCATAGTGCTGATGAAGAACCCCATTGGCCATTTTGGGGTGTCATCTTGTGTGCCTCAATAGCATGCTTTGGTGCCCCCATCAAGGTCAGGTGGATGACCGACTCGCGCCTTTGATGCTGCTCTTGCTTGCTTAGCAGTACCAACTTTGCAGCGGCATGTTGAGAAGTGGTTGTGGCACCAATGGATGCTCCATTTGCGGCGGAAGTGCTTATGCTTCTTCCCTTGGTGGTTGCAAGAACGGCTTGTCCCTTGCTTGATGCCATTGATTTTGGAGGTGTGCTTTGGTTGTTGTCAACTCCGTAACCATGCTCCTTCAACTTCTTTTGAGTTTTGGTGAGGTCACGATCTTTGTCGTTGACGGTGTTTGAAACCTTCTTTCCAAGATTTGAAGAGGAAGCAAAGTCATGCCTAGCCTTTGACATGAGTTCGTAGGCATTTGGGTTAAAGCCTTCTTCGGTCTTCTTAGTTGGAAGAGAGCTTGGTTTCACTTTGACGCCATGTTGCGCCTCCAGACGGTTGATGAGTCCGGCGGTTTGCAAGTTTTTCTCCTCTGCAGTCTTTAGCAGCCTTGCAATTGTTTCCTTCATCTGAATCAACTGTTTTTCAATGGAGGTAGTGCCGATAGTCATGACTTGTTCTTTTTTTGAAGCCATGGACTGTGCTTAAATATCTCGAACGGAGACAGAGATGAGAGGTAGAGATGGTCCCACCGGGCGTGCCAAATTTGTGAACACGAAAGATTCCTTGAAACAAGAAACCAGAATGACGTGTACAAAATAATATTTTTGTGTTTATGATTTTGGGGTTACGATCTCTCTCAAATTTGGTCCTCTGATTCTATCTCCGTAAGATCTAGATTTGTTGATCCAAGGGCCGTCGAGGCTTGATCTTGGATGAACAGTTGTAAGTTTCTTCAAGGGCCTTCGGGGCTTGATCTTGAATGTTGATGGATGAGCGGATATTCAAGGGCTTTTGGGCTTGATCTTGAAGAACGGTTGGTTTTCTTCAAGGGCCGTCGAGGCTTGATCTTGAATGAACAGTTGGTTTTCTTCAAGGGCTTTTGGGCTTGATCTTGAAGGAGGATTTGACGAAGAACGAAGAGTGCTTTCTTGATCCTTCGGAATTCTTGGGAATTTGGATGCTTGAGAGCTTTGGAGTTTCAAAGCTTCAAGGATTTGGGGAATTCTCTTCCAATTTGGGAGTAGAGAAATGTATTTGTGAATTCCTTGATGCTTGATACCTTGATGGAGAAGCCTATTTATAGGCTTTGAGAATGAATCACCACCACAAAATATTTTTTTCCTTTCCAAGCACCATTGCCTAATTTTCCCACTTAATGCAATATTGAAATTGAAGTGGTGTAACTTATGGCCTAATTTCCCACTTAATACCATTTTAAACTTGAAGTGGTCTAACTTATGGCCTAATTTCCCACTTAACACCATTTTAAACTTGAAATGTGTATGCTTTGTCATTGCCCAAATGAGAAAAACTTGCTTTGATCCGTAATGGATTGAAGTGTGCTTACCTTGTCATTGCCCAACATGAGAAGAAAAACTTGTTTAATCCTTCAAGGGTATTTCTTTCTATTTTGTTGAGTCACACGCCATGTGTACAATTTGTACAACACGTGGCGTATGCCATGTATGCCTTGACACGTCAAAACTTTAATGCGTTGGGTGAACATTTGTTTTACTGAAATTTCGATGTCTACAAAGACATCAGAGATCACACTGGCGAATAACAGAAAATCAGATTAATCTTATGTTTTGCCAATAAACCAAAGAGTAACCTCTATCCAGGTCCTTCAACCTTCATTTTCAACTCAAACTAAAGAATCTAAAAACAAGAAACAACGCTTTTAATATAACATTGGCAAATGGCAATCCTGCTCGTATAGATCCTACTTTTCCTACACCAGCCACTGCCACTAATGCTAACAATAACAACAGTAGCAAGATTAATTATATACCCAATGCAACAACAACAACCAAGCCTCATCCCACTAAGTGAGGTCGGCTGTATGAATCCTAAAACACCACTGTGCTCGGTTTTGCACCATGTCTTCCATTAGGTCCAAGTACTCCAAACTTCGACAAATTATATAACCAACGCAAGACAGCAAAATTCGACAAATTCACAAACTTTTACAATCAACCAAAGCATAAAAACAAATTGAGATATTACCAAATAAAGAGTAAAAAGTAAATTTTACAACAGCAAATAAACTTGTAATTAGGGATGAAATTTTTTACTGACTTACCATTTTGGATAGAACTTCCTCCCTGTAGGGCCTGTCAAAACCTGTCACTTGCAGGAAAGTTGCATACAGTGGTTCATCAAGCACTTCCATGTCATTCCTCTAAACACAAAACAAAACAATACAAAAAACAAGTCTCGATTACTAAAAGCCCAAAATTTATGTTTTCTTCTACTAAAAAAAGACGCAATCTTTAACATTGCAGTTTCTTAGGCCGATTTGGGATTGATTCTTCAAGAGCTAAAAGCGTTTCCTGGCAACCAAAAATGCTGCTGACTGCGTTTGGCAGAAACGGTTAAAAGTGCTTTTGGGCATAAATGCACTTACAACCTGACACTGCTAGATGCTTCCCCAAAAAGCACTTGTAGCACAAGCGCTTATAGAAAAAAATACTTCTGGAAAAAAATCACTTATCAGCAGAACTGCTTCCTAATGAAGCAGTCCCAATCAAGGCCTTACAGAACCCAGAAGAGAGAATATTGGAGACATTGGAGGGCACCTGAGCAAAAGAATACATGAGGGTGGTCGACAGTGATCTTGGAGCTGCCCACATGTGAATCACTTCCACTTCAGCTTCTGCTTGGTTCTTGAGCTCTTCCATGGTGAATTGGTTTGGACTAAAATCAAATTTCACAAACTTTATGAGGGATTAATTGGGATTTTGAAGTTCTGAGAATCTGAGCAAATTGCTGCATATAGAGCTGACAGCTCTGCAACTTGAAAACTGATTGATTGGAACTGGATGGTCTGGATTTACCCAGATTTTGTCAAAGGAAAACCGACGGGACTGGAAAGTCAGCTCTTGCATCTATCTCAATGTTCCCTGGTGGAGTTACTGTTAGTAAACTGAGGGTTATGCAATAAATAATTAAAGTTCATCTCTTTTTACTATTTACTATTTACCATTTGAATTTACTTGGAATTGTCTTTGGGTTACCCTTTATAACTATTAGAAATAAAAAAAGCTAATGAAAATGGTTTGAAAATTTTGAGTTTTAATTATAAGAACAAAATAAAAGGTAAAATGAATAATACCAAGATTGACTTTTTAGTGTAAAATTATGATACCGATAACTTTTCGTCAAAGTTTCCTTAAAAATATTTTTAATTTTGTTTGATTGTAAATGACAAAAATGTTTTTGGGCCTTGGAAGTACTTTTTGAAGTGCACTTCAAATTGCTCGTTCAAGAAGCAGTTGAACTTTTATTGAAAGAATTCAATATGTTTCTAATGGAAACACTTGTGTTTATTTATAAAAATAATATTTTTTTTCTATTTTGAATACAAGCAATAATATAGATTTAATTTACCTTATGAGAAGATAAGAGTGTCTGAATTCGAGCATAGTGAATTAGCGAGTTAAGAGGAAGACTAATCATCAAGACAATACACAACTTACAATGAAAAATAATAATTTTTACGTAAGTAATTTCAGATGAACATGAAGACTGCTAAATCAAACGGTCAAATAAAGATAAGAAAGTTAAAAAAGTAAGAATAATAACCTAACTTGGTGGATGGATAAGTTTGGTGGAGAAATTATTGGGTTTGGCTGTCGAATCATCCACAGTTAGAATTCTTGGAGAAAGTTTTGTATGATGCCGATATATTGTCATGGTCATGTTTAATGCCAAAACTAAAATCCACTCTTAGAATGCTTGGAAAATGATTTATATGTCACACATAGAATGTTATGGTAGCGTTTCATGCCAAGACTATGATCCACACTGAATGCTCGGAGAAAATTTTGACACAGATACATTGTTGTAGTGGCATCTTATGCCAAGACTATAAAGACTTGTTAGTTTCTCTTCATGTGTCTTGATACCATTTACACAAGATTTCTGTTCCACGTAAATTCTTCTCCTGTATCTAAGACGAGTTCTTGGGGCCACATTAGCAAAACAAGAGCTGATTGTATTTTCTCAACACTTGGCCCACATCGTAGTCCCACCCCACTTACCAGATACGAAGGGCCGTATACAAGATTTGTTACTAGGTGAGATTTGTCGTGTCCTGGGCGTATAGGTGAGACAACAGCGTCACACGCACGCCAAGAATTTCTCCCAAATTTTGTGTGCCACTCGAACAAGAAAAACCTTACAACCCTTGAAAGTACCTTACAAGTTCAACAAATCTTACAACTTCTACAACAAAAATCTTCAAATCGCGGGAACATGCCATGCATTTGTAGCCGTTGAGCAACAATGTGCCTAACTAGAAATTCAAATAGCCTATTTACATGAGATGGCAAACAGCCGAACAGCGGTTCGATCATATGACAGCATGTACGGAAGCAAATTCGAAGGCCGAAGTGCTTCAGTTACGTCTTTGATGATAAGGTTAGCCGAGTCCAACAAAGCACAAAATTTATCGAATGTGTCAATAGTGCGGATGACAGTAGCGATAAAAGCCATCGAACCTTTCTTTGATCCAGCATTTGTGGCACTGTTGTCTGTTCTTTTGGCTAGGAAAGCATCAAATTTATCGCCGTTGCCATTCCCTTGATGATATCCATTGACGCTACCATCAGCACCTTTACTCTCCAATTTCGCCTGGTTTAGAAGTAAAGCAAGTATTCGAACAAGATGAGGGAGGCATATGGGATCATAAATTACGTCTGCACCCAAACTGTTGAATGAGAAGTAAGGAAATTACTCAAATCAGCATAGCTTTCTGGCAAAATAACTAAACAAAACTGCAGCATCCCTAAATAATCTAACTTTATCACATATCGCTATCTCAAAACTTTGATTAACGTAGCAAGGAATTAAAGCAGTCTAAATTTTGATAGGGGTAAGCGTTGGTAGTTGAAGTCTGCAGTCTCATGAAAGAAATACTCACATTATGTCTGGCTTGAGGTTCTGAAGCTCACTCTCTGAGACAGACTCCCAAGGAAGATGAAGGCATTTTACGGTTTTTACCTGAGTTTGTTAAGATTATTATAATGTAATGGTATTACAAGTCAAGCAATTTTCAAACACCATCAATTCCATTCATTTACCAACTAGAGTGAAATCATGGTAAGTGACTCACCATATATGGATCTTCGGTAGTTTCTGACATATTAGTTTCAACGCTAATGTGGTTCAATTCCAGATTGACCATCATGTTTGCTAAAGTTGACAGGTCACCATCACTTAGGATCACCTATATCCAACACAAACTTTCCTCAGCTGAATACCGACGCCATTTGCCTTATTATAATTAGTGATACATGTGTCTGTTGGTGGGTATGTGTTTAATATTGAAAATTAAAAGACTGAAAAAATCATGTTAAATCACCCTCGGTCCTAATTGAATCCACAATGTCACCGACAATAATGTTTCACTTTACAATAATTCATGTGTGCAATGAAAGAACAGAAATTCTTCTAGACCGTTTGCTGATTATTCATGAAAAATCTAATGGTACTATAAAAGGAGAATGTTTTCCTCTTCTTTCAAATTTGGATAACATACCTTAGATGCCTTGACATGGGCAAGACAGATACCAACCAAACCAACACCTGAGCCAACCTATTCACGGTAAACGATATAATCATGTAATATGCACGTAGGGCATCATAGCGAATATACTACAACAAAATCCATGAATAAAAGTGCACAGAAAGATCAAGAAATGTGCTTTAAAAAAGAAACAAAAGGTAATAACTAGCTTAGGAAGAATACTTTTCCCACAAAACATAATTTAGCTGATTCTTTCAGACATTAGTTGAACAGGCAACAGCAAAGCCAGCCAGCTCTTGGATTATCATGGCTCCCTTCATGTAACGAATAATCTGTTTGTGCAACTCGATGAGATGAATGCTAGAAAATTGAACTTACCTCGAAGCACAACTTATTAGTAAATAAGTCGGGAAACGAAAGTATACACTCTGATAAATAAAGACTTGACGGCCAAACTGAACACCTGCATTAAAACAAGCCAATAATAATTAACCCTTCGTAATAAAAAAAAATGAAGTGATTATTGTGAACTAGTACAAACCAATTAAAACATGTAGAACGCTAAAACTTGTCAAATTCTTGTATACTGTGCATGCAGAAAACGTAACACAGAAAATAAGGTATTGCATATCAACTAGAAGATAAAAGTCTAAAAGATATCAACGATTAAGCATACCCGGTATCTCCTTCAAGCATGTTGAGTGAACATTGCAGGGGAACCATCAGCTTCCGCGACTCGGGACAACTTGTAAGTTCCAAACAACCTAGAGGTACAAAGTCATTGAATCAACATGCTAATCAAGAATGACAAACTCCATAAACCAACATCACATGAATTATACCATCGGGAAACAGAAACGAAATAGATTTGAAGACCCTTGCATTGTCTCTTTCAAGATCACCGTCCTAATGAACAAAACAGCTTGTTAATTCCACTGGAAAACAAGCGAATAATGTAAATGACAGCTTCATCAAACATTGCACATCAGCTATACCTTCAAAGAAGTCATGAAATGGGCGTAATGCTCGTATAGCTCATCCAACACATCTCCGCGGTTCAACTCAACTTCGGCAATAAGCTTCTTCAGAAATTTCTTCAGGTACGGTGCGTGTAATTTCCCAGCCTGCATTTACCATTCAACTGAGCCAAAATTTACACTTAGAGAAATCGAAAAGTAACACTTTCCAACTCAGGAATTCGATTCCAGCCAAAGACAAACACAACCGCATCCAATCGAACACGCCACAAACAATAAAACTTCCACGCTGAATTGATTCACTAGTACTAAAACAATCAATTAAAAACCCAAAAATCGATTCTTTTCCCCCCAAATTTCTCAGCAACCAAAATATAACAATTCAAATATGTAATTACAAACTGTGCAATAAGTAGAGGACATAGAAAATTACATTTTTACCCATGCAATGATCCCAAATGAACCTCTGCACTCTCTCAGTAACCCTTCCTCCGCCGCATTCCCTGCAAAATTCACAAATACAAGGTATTCAGAAACAAGAAGAAGAAGGTGCTAACTTGCACCACCATACGCTAAAGTGCACCGAATAGCGCATAAAGCACAAAAATTGGTGCAATCGGTGCTCCTATCGTCTGGATAGTAAGGCGTTGTGCTAAAGTGCGCCGGGGGAGTTACCGGGCCAAGGCGATGAGGGAGTCGGTGGGCTCTATGGCGAGGAAAGCCGAGAGCAAGTGGAGACACGGAGGGGTTGAAGGATGGAGGAGGTCGTGCTCCGCCGTGGCCGTCATTTTACGGTTGGATATTCTAGGGTTTTAGGAATATCCGTTGGGCTGCGGAAACAACTACCCGCCATGGAAGCAGAGGTTTTATTTACAAGAAAAAACAGAGTAGAACGACATCGTTTATCCCTGCCCAATGAAGGTGGTTTGGTCCGATTCATTCTATTCTAAAAACTGAAATATTAACCCGAACCTGGTCCGGTCTGATCAATTCGACTCGGATTGGGTGTGAACCTATTCGTTCTTTTTTATTGGATTATCCTATCATCACTTGACACGAATCTAAACTTAACATTAACACGAATTCATTAACGAATTCAAGAAAACAATGAGGAGATTAGTATTTTCATACTATATTCAAAATAAAATTGAATTATAATTTAGGAGAGAAATTTTAGTAAGAGCGTTACATAGTTAGACATGTACTGTTAACCACTAAAAATTACCATATCGACACATGTTAAGCCAAATGTATGAACATTTGTGAAAAAGAGTGAGGTCAAGATGAGCATCAACTATCTATTTTTACAAGGCAACGTTATCACTCTAGTTTACAAAGATGAGCATTAAATATTTTTACTTCTTTACAAACCTCTTTTAATTTTCGAAGTCAAATTGAATGAATTAAAAAAGATTGGTAGACAAAAAGTACAAGGTTGGGCGGGAGATAAAAAATGATATGTGAATAGCACTACTCAATTGTTAATGCAACAGAGCAGACACATTGTATTAAGCTTTTAGAAGAGCACGTCTTTAGATTTTTGGTCTAATGGGACTTGGAAACAAAATCTTAGATGAATCACAAAGAAGGGGAAAAAAAGTATATGGTCCAATATCTTAGTAGATATGGTGTTGTTTCAACTCACTGTCCCAGGTTCGAAACTCCCCTCTCTTAAATTATTGTAATAATTTCGAACTCTTTATAGGAAAAAACAGAAAAAAAAAAGTTTTGTTAGACGTTTTCAAAAATACAAGTTTTGAGCCCTTGCTTGCTCTAAGGTCCTTCATGTAGTTCTTGCTTCAAGTAGTAAAGAATCCCATCTGGTTCTTCAAATTTCCAAATACACCCTTAGAAGCCGTCTTATTACGGGGACTAATTAGCCACATATAGCTGTGTTCGTACATTTAGATGTGGCTAATTGGAGTGCATGAAGGGTAGAATCGTAATTGAACAATTAAGCTTTGCTTTTTTGGCAATATTTGCCTTTCCGAAACTCAAAGGAAACACCTTTTTTGGGCAAAGAAAAGGGAAAACGTGGCTTTCCACCAAAAAATAGGAAAGAAAACTTTGGGTACATTACCCAAAACAACCCTATAAATACACACTCACATGCACAATACTTCAATCACATTGCAGCTTCTCTGTCCTAAGCTTTCATATTTCAACATCCATGGCTGCCAAGAACTACATTATTCTCAGAATGTTTGCCTTGCTGGCAACTGTTTTACCGGCTGCGAACTCGATAAAGTTCAGCTATCCGGCGGTTTTCAACTTCGGGGATTCAAACTCCGACACCGGGGAGCTTGGTGCTGGGCTTGGTTTCAACCTTCCGCTGCCTTATGGACAGAACTACTTCAAACCTCCGTCATCATCGGGGAGGGCTTCCGATGGCCGTCTGATCGTAGATTTTCTGAGTAAGTTTCCGGGCTTATTACTCACATGCACTACTTGCGGGTGTTGACAAACTTCTATGTATCTCGTGCATGCATTATAATATTATACTAAAAATATGACTTTAACCCTTTAAATTTAATTTTCTCTGCATAAAACTCGACATAAGTTTTCTACTCGAATTTTATATTTGTAGGAGAAGTATTTTCAAATTATGAACATACATACATCTATAGTGATGATATTACATTGTCATCTTATTTGTAAGTATTATTATTAGAACTCAGCTTATTTGTCTGGGAGTGAAAAAAAAATGTTTGGGAAAGTGGAATTAAATTACTAAATAAGCTTTAAATTATTTTTAGCTTCAAGTTTAAAATTTTTTCGGTCGTAGATTATTATTATTTAATTTATTATTATTGACGGAAGAGGTTGAAATTATTACAATAATTAAGAAAGTAGAGTTTCGAACCCAAAACGCCTAGGTAAAAACCCAACATCCTATCCATTAGGATAGCGGACCACATGCAAGTTCCAATTTTATCAGATGTCCCCAAAGAGACTCGTTAGTATAGATTATGAACATAGGTCTATTTGTCTAAATTATATATATATATATGTACATATATTACATGGAAACATAATTTGTACACATTTTTTCTTTGCTTGCACACTCATGTTTATTTTTATTCTTTTAAATTTATTCAATTCAACGATGATAAATAATTATAGATGCGTAAGAAGAGTAAAAGAGTGTGCAAGTTAAAAATCATTTTCATATTATGTTTCGTTTAATGTGTTGATTAACTTTCTCCAATAAAATATTCAATTTAAAATTCAGATGATTAAACGAGGAATGCCAAAAGTCAAAGCAAACTTTTTAAGCTTTCGCTATGCTCATAAAATTGGCTCCATATGACACATGATGCATCACTGTGTTTTGGTGGTTGGTACTTAATTAACACATCCGTGAACATCAAGTCTCTTCATCCATGGCTACGAAAACTTCGACCCTCCAAATTTTCACCTTATTTTCCATTTTTCTACCTTCTTGAAACTCAACCAAGTTCTACTACCCCACCGCTTTCAACTTCGGCGATTCAAACTCCGACACAGGCGTGCTTGCTGCCGGCTGATTTCCAGCTTCCACCACCTTATGGACAGTCTTTCTTCAAAACTCCATCTGGGAGGTTTCATGATGCCCGTCTCCTCATAGATTTCTTCTGTAAATTTCTCACAATGCACTTTTGCAATGTTTTTACTTTACCCCACAATTTTACGGTTTATACCACTTTCACATTTGTATGCATTACACATGTAAACGTTTATGGATATTGTTCCAAACATGAGTTACGTCAGTTGGTTAAGGCAGTCACCCACCCCTTACATGTCAATTTGAATCCTCATTCTCATAAATTTAATATCACTTTTGTCTTGGCCCTTTGGCTTTCCACATGTGAAAGCAGACCACCAACTTACACTTGAGCACCACTACTGCTCACCAAACAAAAACGTATCGTCAAAGGCTTCATAAAGTGTATATATTTTTCTGTTGGTTTGTTTGCATTGAAGTGAAAGCAACAGCCTAAGAAGTAAGAGAACTTATGGACACCAAAACCTGCGTCATCCAAATTCTCACATTGATTTCCATCTCCTTACCTCTTTCCAAATCCATCCACTTCAACCACCCTGCCGTTTTCAACTTTGGCGATTCGAATTCCGACACTGGCAATCTTGTTTCCGCCGGCATTGAGAGCATTCTTCCTCCTTATGGACAATCTTATTTCAAAACCCCATCTGGGAGATACTCCGATGGCCGCCTCATCGTTGATTTTCTTTGTAAATTTTCAATTTTGTTCCCTCCTAGCTTTTTTCTACCGCATTTAATTCATACATATATTTCTAAGTCTATGGTTTTAGCACTTGTACATTTTTGTGATGAACGTGTCCTTATGTTTTGTGTCTAACGTTTTGCAGTGGATGCAATGCAGCTTCCATTTCTCAATGCCTATCTGGATTCCGTTGGCCTGCCAATATTCAAAAAAGGTTGCAACTTTGCCGCGGCAGGGTCAACGATACTTCCAGCAACTGCAACATCCATCAGCCCGTTTTCTTTCGGGGTCCAGGTCTCCCAGTTTTTTAGATTCAAAGCTAAGGTTCTTGAATTGCTAGCTAGAGGTAGGAGCTTTCCCAAGTATCTGCCCGCGGAAGTTTTTTTCGCGAAGGGGCTCTACATGTTCGATATAGGCCAGAATGATCTCGCTGGTGCATTTTATTCGAAATCATTGGATCAGATTCTCGCTTCCATTCCAATGATTTTGACAGAATTCGAAACAGGAATAAATGTCAGTACATTAACACAACAAGGATGATCAATAATTTGAATTGAAAGATGACATCCACCTAACATTCCTTGTTTTTTTTTTTTCTTTTCAGAGATTATATGACCAAGGAGGTAGGAACTTTTGGATACACAACACGGGTCCTCTCGGGTGCTTGACGCAGAATGTTGCCAAGTTTGGAACTGATCCTTCGAAGCTTGACGAACAAGGATGCGTCAGCGACCATAACCAAGCTGCTAAACTCTTTAACCTGCAGCTTCATGCCCTCACCAAAAAGTTGCAAGGCCAGTACTCGGATGCAAGTGTCATTTATGTTGATATCTTTTCGATCAAATCTGAGCTCATATCAAATTATTCGAAAAATGGTTAGTACATCTGAGGACCTTAAAATTCTTCGTTGTGAATTTTACCGTATATGCGTAGTTACTTTCTGTTTTAATCATCTCATATCTGATGTTTATGAATTGTATCTGCAGGATTTGAACAACCTATTATGGCTTGCTGCGGGTATGGAGGTCCACCGTTGAACTATGACAGTCAGATTACCTGCGGACAAACGAAGACCTTGAACGGAACAACTGTCACAGCAAAAGGATGCACTGATAGTTCTGATTACATTAGTTGGGATGGAATTCATTACACCGAAGCTGCGAACCAGTTTGTTTCGTCAAAGATACTCACCGGAAAGTATTCTGATCCGCCCTTCTCGGACAAAATGCCTTTCCTTTTGAAGCTCAAGTTCTGAAGCCCCAACATGTTTTATTTACATATTTTAACATTTGTCTGGTATTTGTAAGGCTAAGTCTTTAATGTAGCAGTAAACCTTAAGTTGTCACAAATTTATACAGAAATTCCATTTCAAAGTCCGGCACTGGATGCATGTTTCTCATTTAAAAATTCATCTGCATAAGCAGGTATACACCGTTGCATCATACGCAAGCAGACAGGTTGTGGCCGAAAATGAAAGCATTCGCGTGTAATCAACTCAGTTCGATTATATTTTTACAAATATCAACAAGAACCATGTTCCTTTCTGATTTCAAGTCTCTTATCAACCATTTTAATATGATCGATTTGTACAACTGCATGTTATACATGTTTTCGAAATTTATGGGAAATAATGGAAGACGAATCTAACTGATGAACAAGTTCCACTCTTATTTCCTTGAGACATAAGCATAGTATTGTGCCATAGGAACAACAAAGGCAATCACCAGCAATCCTCCAACTACAAGAGTGAACTGCCCACGTTTCTCTTCCGTCTCCTCCTTGGTTTTGAAGTTGGATTCCCGTTTGTTTTCGTTAACTTTGGGTCCGCCAGGATCTGGAAGTCCGTTAATCGCAGCAACTAGCCGTTTGGCACTGCTGGAAATGGCTTCATTGTACTTTTCTTCTGTTGCCAAGACTGCAGTCAACACATCCAATAATCTCATCAACTTAGCTGAAAAATTCTTACAAACTAAAGCAATGGCGTATCATGTATGGAACTATCGGACGGGTAGTCCTTCACCAAACATTTTGCAAAGGCTTGCCGTGCGCGTGGTGCCCTTTAATTTGCAGGAACTGTTCACTTCAACAGTCTTATATGAGCACATCTAACATTTTTAACTTAAAAAGGAGCTCCGAGTTAAAACTTCTGTTTCATTGGATCGTGTATACTAAGCTACCCGAGTATCCCCATCCTCTAAGCTAAAAATTTATGCCAGATGAATTGAAATTGTTGTAATACTTGTGTGCTTTGAGTTTTGGTTTAATGCATTACCATTCTCTACTCGGTACTCATATTACATTTCTCTGCTTTCCGCCACCCGACATTTCAATCGAACAAAACTAGTTCAACTCTCAGTTACATATTATATATGATCTGAATCACGCTCAGAAACTACGACTTGACACAAAATATTAGTATCGTAAAAGAACAGTTGCTTGAAGTAAGAAAAGTAAAGACATTAGTTACCAGGAAGGTTTTCGGACACAGTTGCATCAAGGATACTTTCTCCAACAGCTTGAACAAACGCAGGACCACCTGTGACCGCACCTTCTTTTTGGCTGGTGACGAGCACAACAATGCCCTTATTGTTGCCTTCTTCAACAGAAGGGTACCATTTTTCCAAAACTTGGTCAGCATACTCAAATGCATCAGCTTTGCTCTGCAACCAAATCGTAAAAAATTACAGTGTCCGTTAATGTATGACATACTTTTGAATTTAACGGTTGGATGTGCGGTGAAATACTCTAAGGAATTTAACAGTCGAATGTGAGTCACTTAAAACACAATGCATATGAAGTTAAAAACTCAAGAGTGTATCCCAAAAAGGTCAATATTCACAAAACTCAAAACAAACATATTAACAAAACTTAGAAAACAGAAACAAACTTACAGTGAGCTTTCTAACAGTGATGAAATTGATCCGGAAGTTCTTCTTGTACTCCAATTCCTGCATCAAATTCTTTATATCCGCTTTGGTCACGCGGCTAAGCACGCCAGCATCATCAAAAACATAGGACTCTTTGGGGGGTCCTTCATTGAGCACATCAAACTCAGATGCTAGTGCATTGCCATCAGGCAAAACCGGGCAGAAGTTTAGTGCCAAAGAAAGTGCAAGAGCGGCTAGTCCTTGCTGAGCATAAGAAACCCAATTTGTGGGTGTTGGGAGAGATGTTTTTGGTGATTGAACTGAGTGATTTTTGAGGCTTGAAGTGATGAGGAGAGGCTTGGGATTGGGTTGGAGGGAGGGGGGCAAAAGGGTTTTGAAAGAAGAAGGTTTTGGGTTGAAGAAAGGAGAGAGTGAGGGAGAAGAAAGAATGGTTTCCATTGGGGGGGGGAGAGAGAGAGAGAGAGAGAGAGAGAGAGACCAAGGAATTTTAGGAATGGTGAACCATGAGAGGAGAGAGAGGAGGGTTTGATTTTCTACATGTTTTTGTGTTATTTTTGGGTGGTTTGGATTTGTTTTTGTTTTTGTTATTGGATTGGTTGGCTGAACTTGAATGTGGATAACATGGAAGCTCTCTGTTGGTTTCAAAAGTGGCTTCTTGTACACGTCACTTGTTTGGTTGATATAGTTGAGCCTTGATAGCAAGGGTAATAATGGAATTTACACATAATTGTAACCTTGTGGGATTCAAATCCTCTACTCTTGAGTTTTCTGTGAGAATATGATTGACCTAAAATTGTAAATTTATTGGCTTAAACGGTAGATATTATAGGTCAATTTATTGAGTAAATTAGTCATACCGTATTATCATATCATTTTATTAAGAAAATTAAAATGAGTGTGAAAATCAAGAAAGGTATGTGAAAAGTAAAAATAAGTGTGTAGATAGACTATCCTTTTATTAAGAGTCATAGAGATTGGAATCAACTTTTTTTTTTTTTTGTTTTTTTAATGTCAAACGATAGATTTTGTTATATTAGATGTTAGATTAGCCGTCGTCATGCAAGAATTCAACACCCTATTTCAGGATCAACTTAGTTCAAGTGACCAATTTATAGGCAGAAGTCTCGATCCTTTTGCACACTATATTTTAAAAGACCAAACTGCCCTTTTCATTATCCAAATCCTTAAAACCAACTTTCCCAATCCTAAAATACATAAAACCCCCAAATCCTGTCCCCACATTATCTCCCTCCAAATTTTCGACAGCCATGAATGCCATCCTCATTCTCTCATGGCCATTCTTCTTCTCTCCCTCTCTCCCCACCCACCAAATCCTCCCCAAAACCCTAATCCCACCACCCCAAAACCCACAATCTCTCTCCCCACCACCACTCCCACCTCCTCCAAAAGAAACTTGATCCTCAAGACAACCTCCCTCTTCCTCATTTCTCTGACCCCTCAGCAATACCCAGTTGCCCATTCTTCACCACAAGCTCCACCGCCGCCTCCAAGACCCGCCCTTTCCGGCATCTCCAACACGAAAAACTGGTTCCAGTTCTTCGGCGATGGGTTCGCCATTAGGGTCCCACCCCAGTTTCAGGACGTTCAGGAGCCTGAGGTAACATTACATTCAACAACTTTGAAGATTTTGTATTTTCTAAGTTCCTAAGTTTCTCAAAAATTATAGTTACATTCAATATGTTTTCAGTACTCTGTGAAAGGTTCGAACTTGCATATGTTTTGGCATCCACTTGTTAGGCTTATTTTTTGGATTAGAGAGATAATGTTAGGCTTAAGGGGGAGCTTCATTCTGTGGATTATATACAAAGGGTTTATGATTAGCAAAGTTTCTGGGGCAGTTCTCTTTCGGGTTGATTGCATTTTTTTGTAAAGTTACTTGATATTTTTTTATCCTGACATCAGAAATTTCAGATATAGATACTTCAGAGTTCATTTTTTTGTTTCTTCAAGTTGATTGCTGTACCAGTAAATTAGGATTTGGTAAATGTAATCTCGAAATGTTCACAATTTCCTAACTGGGTGCGGCATTGTGTTTTAAATCTAGGATTACAACTCGGGATTGTCCCTTTATGGAGATAAGGTAAAGCCCAAGACCTTCGCGGCGCGTTTTGCATCTGCTGATGGGTATGCCATTTGTATAAGTTCCCTTCTCTTCAAAGATTTTGTTAACTTGTTTGTCTCAGTTTCGTCTAAATTTACACATTTAAAGCTTTTTTCTTTGCACAAAGCAAAACCAATAATGTAGAACAGTTCTTTGACAAATAGTTTTTGTTTTCGGGCCATGCTTTCCAGGAATTTGTATCAGTTTCAGTATTTATTATGTTTTTCTTCTTGTTATTGGTTGATGCAGATATGAGGTTGTGAGTGTTGTTATTCGCCCATCCAATTCACTCAAGATCACCTTTTTAGAGGTTGGTAGTGACAGTCACTGATTTTTCTTTATATAACTTGTCCTGTACCGATTTACTCCAAGGTTCTAATAGGTGCTAGTCGGGCGGCGGGCAGGGGCCTAGTGCCTAGGCATCTAGGTGGGGTAGGCGGACTCCTTGGTAGGTGTAGGTACCCTTTTCTTATTTTTTAAACGCCTAGGAATTTATTGTGGCGGTGGCCATCCAACTAGCAGCTAGGCGGGGCCTTTTAGAACACTGATTTACTCTATGGCTATATTACTAGAGCATGTCTGTGCACACGCATGAATTAACAATATGGTACTGCATTAATTTGATGAATCTTGTGCCTTTTTCTTATTCTCTCCCTCGCTCTCTCTCGTTATTTGTTTTGGTTTGTAGCCACTGTGTTTAATTGTTTATTGAGGTGGTATCTGGCCAAACCGAATGTTTTATGGACATAAGGGTAGTGTTATTTTTGCATAGTCATACTAATATATTTTTCTGGTGTTATTTGTGTGAGGAGATGGCTGGTGGTGTGGAACTTTTACAGTTATATAGACATACTTTAGCTGTTTATCTCCTCTTAGGTTGGTTTTTGACTGGAGTTTGTCATCCAAATCTTCTCATTGCATGTATGGTTTCAGTTGATGGTTTTAGTCTTAGAATTGGACCTCTCTCTCTCTGACTTCCTCTTCAGCTCATGTATCTCCTTCCTATATCGTCATGAATCCACATTAGGCGATTCCGTTATGTTCTCTTTCTAAATTGCTTGATAAATGCTAACGTAAGACAAATTCATCTGATACATGCTAACTTGGACAGGCCAAAGACATAACAGATTTAGGTTCCTTGAAGGAGGCAGCAAAAATCTTCATTCCAGGTACATTGTAGCATGGTTTCTGTCTTCTCAGCCTCTGATTTGGTAAACCAAAAAATACGGTTTAAAACTTTAATTATACATAAGCGTTGATCCAGATTTGCATTCTGCTTGTTCTAAATTCTAGCGTACGAGAATGTGTATAAACCTATAGTTTGCTTCTCTCCTTATCCTCCTTCAGCTATGTCTTGTATTGATTCTTATTCCTAATCATTCTGCAATTGCAGTTGGATCAACTGTATACTCTGCCCGAGCTATAAGGATAAAGGAAGAAGAAGGTTTTAGGTAAACTCGATTTTGCTTTCTTTTCTCTCAAGAAAGAAGTCATGCCTGTCATGCTATCACGTATTCTTCATTCCCTACGCTTAACTGACTATAATGAATTCTTGTCTGTGAGTACACTACTTGGAAAGCTTCTAAGCTCCGCTCCATTTGTAAGATATTGTCGTTGGAACAACGTGTGGAACCATAGCTTCTTTTCGGATGTTTTTGCAAATGGTATTTGCAATATGTGTCTTGATATATGTTGTTCAACACGTTTCAGGACTTATTATTTCTACGAGTTTGGTGTGCAAGAACAGCATGCAGCTCTTGTAGCTGCTGTTAACGGTGGAAAGGTTTGTCAACACGTAGTTTCGAAACATTCAAAACCCTACCTTTGAACTTGAATACTACAATCTCATAGAATCGTTCGCGCAAAGGTTTCTATATCTTCGTCAAGTTAACAGTTCTCCCCATTTTCTGTTATAGACATACATCGCTGGAGCAACTGCCCCGCAGTCTAAGTGGAACGATGATGGCGTGAAGCTTCGCTCGGCTGCTATATCCATGACTGTTCTATAGTCGTTTATGAATGTCGAGTTTGAAAGGCGGCTTTCAGCTTAAATTTTTTGAAACGTATACGATTCAGAGTCACCTGGAGACGGTGTGGAAGCAGAATAGCTTGTATCAAAAACTTACAGTCGAGGGTCCTCGCATCATTGTTGAGATTTTACAAGGGCATTCCTTGTCGAAACTATGTTGACAGTTTGAGCTCTGTGCAGTTCTTTCGAGTTCTTGTTCAACTCATTAGCTTGTCACTCTGATCATTACTGGTGATTAGCTCCGTTTTAATTCGAGCTTTGTTAAACTAATGTAATTAAAAGTAGGCATTTTAGCTAAAATGGTTTTTGAGATTCGCAAAACTCCTCATTTTGGTTCCTAAGATTTAAAATCGATAGACCTGGCTCCTGATATTTAAAGTTGATAGAACTGATTCTGAGTTTGTCTATCATCAATCATTTTGGTCATTTCGTAAAAAATCTCTATTAAATAAGGAAGAAAATGACAAAAATACATTCAATTCTTGTTAAACCATTTTGGCCAATTGTTTTTTAAATTGGGGTTGTTTTTTTTTTTTTTTTTTGGCATTTTAATCTTATTTAACAACGATTTTCAACACCATAACCAAAAAGATTGATGATAGACAAACTCAAAAAAGAGTTCTATCAATTTCAAATCTCAGAACCATTTTAATTAAAAAAATCTGTAAAATGTCAGTATTCTAAGTTTTTGTGAGGATTTCCAAAGAAATGACTAAAAACGTATCGGCTTTGGCAGTTTTTTTGGATGCTTCGGAAGGCAAGACAAAGAGAGTAAGTTTCAAATGGAAAACGAGTACAGTGCAGAAAACGAGTTGCCTCTGGTTATTGGCAATAGTACTGAAAGGACAGAAGAAGAGACATAATGGCGGAGCCACATAGGCCCCTTATATTTATGGTTGTCTATTTCTTCATTCACATGGCTCTCGTGATACTTTTCAATTCGGTGGTTCAGTTTGATTGGTATGACACGATGTACTCGAAATTAACTAGCATTTAACAATTTTCAGTTTGATAACTTTTGAGGAGTACTACTATTAAAACCAAATCAAACCAAAAAATTGTTAATCGCTCTACGTTTGGTTGGTTTAAACGTATTCCAATGTATAAAAAAAAAGGTCAAACATTTCAAGAATTTAAATTTTTGAAATAATATGTCGTTTTAACAACTGATTTATTAGTCAAAATCTCACGTAAACATAAAGTACAAACAAATCTCCTAATTGTCAATAGTCATTACAACTTATAAGTTATAATACGTGTACAATAAAGACATTCACATAACGTATAACATGTTGACAACTTGACATGTGTAAAATAAATAAATAAATTTAGGTATTAAAAGATTTATGGTTGCTTCGGTTTGGCTTTGGTCGATTTCAAAAATCAACCAAACCAAAACAAATCGATTTGATTCTCAAATTGTTTGACTTTTTTCTTAGTCACAATCAAACCAAACTGAACAAACAATTCAGATCGCTCTGTTTGACGCCCACCCTACGTAGGCCATATCCTTAAAAAATATATGGCTCTGTATTTACTTATGAAATAAGTTGTTCAAATCCAAATTTAAAATAGCGAATTTGATACTAAATTAGGCTGTCTATTATGTGATTTTGATGAACTCTGCCTCCCCTTAGTGTAAAAGTATCAATGTACTCAATAAAAAAAATCTAAATTAAAATCCCTAATTTAGATTCTATAATTCATTAAGTAAATATTGCCTGAGCCAATATGGTGGCCATGTTCGATCGAGAAGGTCATCAAGAAATGTTTATTAATTCTACTTGATTTGTAAAGCATCATCTTTTCTGAAATTAACAAATTATTGATCTAAGAAAATTTAAAAAATATTTAATTGGATTTTGACTTAATTAATACTAAGGAAATGACACATGTGTGCATGTGGTGGGAGTTCTAAAGGAAAAGAAAATGATACAGTCATATGACTAGATTACCCTTAAAAGGCAGAGTTCAATTAGATTGGCACTCTCATGATGGTCAATTAAGTCTTAATTAACTATCATTAACTTGTGACGTTGTGATGACTAGTAAACATTATATTTATGCCAAAGTTAAACTTAAATATGTTTGATAACTATTTTATTTTTAGATTTTAGTCTCCATTTACGAAAAATCTTGTTTTAATGTGTATATGAAGGAGAATTTATGCATGTAACCGTACCTTCCCGTTGATGCAAGCTCTTGAGAAAGATCAACTTGTTATTCTAAGAATATCTTTTATCCGTTGAGTGACAATTCTTCCATTTGGCATCATTGGATCACTAAGGCTGACTTTTGTCTTGCTCAACGGATGGGTCTTGTGGTCAAGCTCCTTTATCCTTTGCACGAAGGTCGATCTCCGTTTGGCCCGAGGAAACCTTTGCACGCCTTTGTTACCTTTTGTGAGGCCTACACCCCATGGAAGTTGTCTACTGGGACTGTCCCTTGCCACACCCCCCCTTCTCTGTGTGCTCACACAGGGAAGGGGGCCTTCTTCGCCTTCCACCTAAACTATGCGCAGGAAAGATGCAAAGCCAATCCAAGAGAACAGTAGAGTTTCATAAGGTCTTTCTGTTTAGGTGCATGTAAGTTACTTATCGATATTATTGCCCTCTAATTAGATACCTACGTTGATACTCAATGTATATCAAGTAATCACGAAACAGAATATACCTACCAAAATCGATAACTTAGTTGAAGAAGCTTAATATTTTTGGGCTACGTACAATCAACTGATGTGATGGAGAATTTGGTGATTGTACTATACATTATGATAATTGTAGTCGTCTAGCTCGATTGATGTTAGCAACTAAAATAAACTTTGAGATTATGACGTGACCAAAATTGATAAAGATACCTCCAATTTTTGGCAAATTATTTTGATCAATTAGTTATTAAATTGAGAATATTTTTGTAATTGGTTATTTTTTAACAGATTTTTAAGAGAATGACTAAAATGATATACGGTGGACAAACTCAATGACCAATTCTATCAATTTCAAATCTTAAGAATCAAAATGAAGAATTATATCAATTTCAGAAACCATTTTAACTAAAAATCTTAAAATATCAGCATCCTCAGTTTTACGAGGATTTCTCAATGAAATGACTAAAAACGTATCGGATTCGGCAGTTTTATTGGATGCTTTGGAAAGCAAGATATATAAAGCAAGTTTCAACTGGACAATGAGTAGAACGCAGCATAGAAAACGAGTTGGAAACACACCGTGTCTTCATTTGTTTGTGAAAATTTTGAATTTTGGCCCTCCCTGGTTATTATGGCAGTGGTACTAAAAGAACAGAAGAAGAGACATAATGGCGGAGCCACATAGGTCCCTTATATTTATTGTTGTCTATTTCTTTTTAAGAAAATTTAACGAAAAATTTACAGTATTGTTTATTTTAACAAAAAGTTACATTTTTTATACTAAAAAATAAATCCTGATACTATCCACTTTATCATTTATTTTATTTTTATCATTAAAATTCAAAGTTTTTAACCTATTTTTCAATAGTTTTCATATTTCTTTATTCATGTAGCATTTGTGATACTTTTTAATTCGATCATATTTAATTTAACTGATTTGACATGAAACGTAACCGGAATCAACTAGCATTTAACAATTTTCGGTTTGATAACTTTTGACACGTACTATTATTAAAACCGAATCAAACTGAAAATTTGTTAATCGCTTTGGTTTGGTTGGTTTCAATGCGTATAAAAAGAAGATTCATGCATGCGACTAATATTATACAATATATACTTCCACGGCGATACTGTATATATCCGTGCATGTAAGTGACTTCTCAATATTATTGTCCTCTAATTAGATACTTGTGTGGCCGTTGGTGTATATCAAGTGATCACAAAACAGGACGTATACCTACCAAATGAATTAGGTTCAAAATCAATATGTTTGCGCTGCGTACAATCAACTGATGCGATGGCAACTGATGTGAGATTTTAGTGATTTAACTATACATTTTCTAATGTAGTCGTCTAGCTCGATCGATGATAGCAACTAAAATAATCTTTCAGAATATGACCCAACCGAAAATTCTTGCAACAAATAAAAATTGGCCTACAAAATACTTAAGATAAATTATAAAAAACTACCTCAACTATTGGAGAAGAGACGAACTGGGTTTCCTTTTTTTTTTTTTGGTCCCCTTCCTTTCTTCTTTCTGGGTTGCAGGTTGGCTTTTTTTTTTGAGGGGGGGGGGGTTCATTTTTTTTGTTTTGGCAGAACTAGGTTTCCTTCTTTTTTTTTGTTTTTGCCAAAATACTTAAGATAAATTATAAAAAAACTACCTCCACTATTGGAGGAGAGACGAACTGGTTTTTTTTTTTTTTTTTTTTCCTTTTTCCTTTCTTTCTACTTCTTTCTGGGTTGTAGGTTGGCTTTTTTTTTTTGGGGGGGGGGGGTTGCTGAGGTGATGATAATGATATTTTTGGGAGGTGTGACGGGATCTGGGCCGGGAGGGGGGGTGGGGTGGGGTTCAGGCATGGGGTTTCGGGCGCGCCCGGGGGGGGGGGGGGGGTTGATGGGTTTTCAAAGGGCGAGAAAAGAGAGAAGGGGGGAGAAAATGACGAACTGAGGTTTTTTTTTTTTTTGGTTACTTTTTTGTATTATTTTAATATTTAAAAAATATTAAATAATTTTGTTAGTTTTTAATAATATTTTATTAATAAAAAGTGGATCCCGAATGAAGGTACATCAGCATTTAATTGAAAAATTCACACCCAAGTAACGAAAGGTATAACATTGGACCAATTTCTAAAGATAAGATATGATAGTGTCGTGAGCCTAATATTTGAGGTAGTTTTTTTATCATTTACCCAAATACTTAATATAATAAGATCTTGACCCTTTTTTATATTCTATATTTTCTTGCAAGTGAAGGGAGGAAAGATTAGGAGATTCGCTCTTCAAGAATGATAACGTGTACGAAATCTTGTTGCGAGTTTTATATGCATATTAGTTATATTGTAAATAGACTTTTTGTCCTACTAATCAGTGAATTAGTTGATTTAACCAAGTTACCCTCCTTCGCACAAGTGAGAACAACTATACTTAGGAAACTCCTTCTCCGTCCATCTTTCATCGTATTCTATTAATAATAAAGAAAATAATACAAACAAAAGGACGTAACCAAAATCCAAAAGGAAAGAGCGATTAACAAAAACAATAATAAAGACAAAGCAAAATGTTACGAGCACAAGCATAACGTTACAAGAGTGATCCATACATCTATTTTTATCTCTCACATATTTTTCTCAATTTTTAATAGTCGGATCAGATAAATTAAAAAAAATATATCAAAAGACAAACATTAACAAAGACATGAAAAATAAATAAAAACGTGTGTAAATATAACTACAAACGGTAGACGATATCCTCCCAAATGGAGCCAAAAAAGATCGATTCCTACTTTTGGCCGCTATCATGGATGATAACATAAACTTTTAAAGGTATTTTTTTTTTTTTTTTCATGATTAATTACTTGGAGTTGGAGTTTGAGATCCATCGTGGATGAGCAAGATGCATAACCATCGCTAATCACTCTCTCGACAGAGAAGACTTCTCGTGGGTGGGAGTTAAGGGAGAGCAGGGGTTCGAATTCTCCTGATATAATAACACGGACCGTTGAATTTTGATCCAATAATTATAAATAGGAGATCATTTTAAAAATTATAATAATTATAAACGTTGGATTAAAATCTAACAATCCGTGTTATTGGATCAGGAGCATTCGGACCCCCTGCTCAGGAGAGAATCCAAATCCGGAAGTAAGATCAAGATCTGATCAAAGTGGGGCCCCTCAGGTCCTCACCTCACCTGCAACACGTGTTCAGATTGGAAATTTGGAACGTGCTGACTGCCGAGACTTATGGAGCCACGTTCGCCTGTGGGAGCTGGAGGACACTGGATCATCGGACATATCATACGGCACGTCAATTTTTGAGGGTGACATGACATATGATAAGTTGATAAGTTGATAAGTCCAATGTGTCCATCATCCTTTTTAGCTCTTTTTCTTTGACTCTTTTAAGGTCTTTAAATTTGTCTGACAATGATTGAGTTTTAAGGTTTGTTTGCGTTCAGCTTCCTGGTTGGCAGAAGTATCAAAATTCTTCAATATTCGACAAATTAGATCGGTTAAAGTCACGTACATGGCCAAGCAACGCTATCAAAATTATTGATACGTTTGAAGCCCCATTACAAGGTCCAAAATCATCTTGTGTTAGTATTACGTGCATGTGCAATGAGTAGCTTTTTCCGTAACGTTGCTTTCTTTATTTAGCGTAAGTTTTTTTTTTTTGATCATTTGAGTTTCTTATATCCTAATCAATCTAAATGTTCGGAAAAAAAAATGTCTTTTTTTTTTTTTTTTTTTTTTTTAACTTGAAACAAAGCTTTTAAAATAAAATTAGAGTGTACAAAAATCACTTCTTAATTTCTACTAATAATATCACTTGGCAGGAGTACAACAGTTGAGTTAGATCCCTCTGCAGGGGATCCATGCTCGTCAACTACCATTCTTCCCTCCAATTTTTTAAGTCCATAACGACCTCCTATTCAAAGACAACCATACACAAAACCAACAAGAAGCCTCATCACTCCAAGAAACTTCTCTTCTTTTTCATGGTCCAAAAACTCCAATCCATCTCAGCACCGTCCTCTCGGCTCCGATTCGGATCGACTTCAAATCCGACCAGGTGAATGCCAAAGTCAGATACACAAAAACCCAAAGAAAATGGCAGCTCTAGAAACCATACAGTCTCAGTTGCCACTTCAAGATTCCTCATTTCTCAGCACCAGCACTGTCATTGCACTCACTGTGTTCTTCACACTCCTCTGTGTTTGTATCATTATCGGTCATTTGCTCGAAGAGAACCGCTGGGCGAATGAATCGATCACTGCCCTTCTCTTGGTACGTAAAAAGTTGTACACTTTTATTTGTGCCACATGGTTTTTGTACTGAAATTTTCGGGCCAAGAACACAAAAATTATGCGAAGTTTTGGTTCTTTTTGTTGTTTAACTTTGTTTTTGTGTTGTTGGGTTTCAGGGTTTGGTTGCTGGAGTGGTGGTGTTGCTGGTGACAGGGTTCGAAAGCTCGAAGATTTTGATCTTTAGTGAGGACTTGTTCTTTCTGTATCTATTGCCTCCAATCATTTTCAATGCCGGGTATGAATCAACTCTCAATTCCGGTTTCGATTTCAATGCTTGGTTTGTAGTTTCTTTAATGTTGTTCGAATTTGGATCTCAAATATCGCCTTTGTGCTTGAATTTAGTATGCAAATCTTAAATTTTGTCACATGGGATCTTCAAAGTTATGATTAAGCATTGGTTCTGATCTCAGAAGTTTTGATCTTGTTCAGTTTCCAGGTCAAGAAAAAGCAGTTTTTCAAGAACTTCACCACAATTTTGTTGTTTGGAATCGTCGGTACAGTAATTTCTTTCTGCCTCATATCACTAGGTAAGACCTGCAATCTTTCGAAATTTAATCGAAGGAAAATGATTTCTGCACACAACTTTTCTCCTTCTGCAGAGGCCACACAAAAACAGGAGTGTGTGGAAGTTGCTTCCCTAATGGAATTATGACTAATTTATCTTCAAACTGTTGCTCTTTTTGGAAACATTTTGCAGGTGCCTATTTACTTTTCAATAGATTCGGTTTCACAACTCTGACCACTAAAGACTTCCTAGGTGACCACGAATTCATCTACAATCATTATCTCGATGCGAATAATATGTTTTCATGGTTATATTATATAGTGATCATTTGTGCTTACCGGTTCCTCTGTGCAGCGATCGGTGCCATATTCTCAGCAACTGATTCAGTTTGTACATTGCAGGTAATCTATAATCCCAATCCGAATACAACATTTTCTTCAACTCATGTCTAATCTTGTAATCTTCTTCTCATGTGCAAAGGTTCTAAATCAAGATGAGACACCGTTTCTTTACAGTGTTGTGTTTGGGGAGGGAGTAGTGAATGATGCTACCTCCATTGTGCTTTTCAACGCAGTACAATCGCTAGATGTCAGCAACGTTGACGCTCTTACAGCGTTGACCTTGTTGGGGAATTTTCTTTACCTCTTCTTCACCAGTACTCTTCTTGGTATAGCAGTAAGTTGTAGATTATTGCTCAAATGGTTAGGAATCACTTTGTTTGGACTACATCAGAGAGCTTGTTCTATGTTCTAACATTGATTCATTAAAATGTGTAAGGCCGGTCTGATGAGCGCTTTTATCATAAAAACGCTTTACTTTGGAAGGTATGAGCAGACACTTCAAATATTAGCCTCTGGTGATGCATTTCCTCATCTGTCCACACTTGTGAGTTACTTTCCCTGACGTTATGATTCTCTTTCGAACAGGCATTCTACAGATCGTGAAGTTGCGCTGATGATTCTTATGGCTTATTTGTCATACATGTTGGCCGAGGTACCTTAAACAAAATCTCTCATATTAATTAGTACTGGTTTTTACATTACCTAGATGTCAACCTCAGAAGACTAGGAATTGATTTTGATTTTTAGTATCTGAGTATTTCTTTAGTTCTTTTCGGTATCTTGTAATCAGTTTATCTTGTTATTTAATTTATGGTAGTCGATCATCTAAGTATTTAGCGGCGATCCCACCAAAAATATCTAGCAAATGCAGACCGAGCAAATCAGAAATCTGGCTTTGACTAATTTTATGAACTTTGCATAGTATCGACCACAAAATAATATTATCGCAACGGATCAGATGAACTGATTTCAGAATGGAATTTAACGAGATAAGAGCAAAAGATATCTAAATCGCCTTTCTTTTGCAGCTTATGAGTCTCAGTGGAATTTTGACGGTGTTTTTCTGCGGCATAGTTATGTCACATTATACATGGCACAACGTTACAGAAAGCTCAAGGGTAACAACCAAGTAAGACCAGATTTCTCTCTTCGTTTCTAATTTTTGACACTATTGTAATCCTTTTCGTAGATGATCTACCGGTTGAGTTACTAGTCAAACTAGAATGAAAGGAAATGCGAAATATGAATCTTTAATCCGTATTGCTTGATGGTTTGTTTCAGGCATGCATTTGCAACATTGTCGTTCATTGCAGAAACCTTTATATTCCTTTATGTTGGCATGGATGCCTTGGACATTGACAAATGGAAAGCCAGCAATGCAAGGTAATTATCTCACTAATCTAAGTAATCGTAGTATTATCTTCGTTAATACTTCATAATAACGCGAAAAACAAGTTCGAACAAATTGTATTTTATCCCCGACTCTGTTGTTATAATGTTGAAACATGTTATGCCTGACTTGTAACATACTCTTTCGTTCAGTCCAGGGACTTCAGTTGGTGTCAGTTCAATGCTGTTTGGACTTGTATTAGTCGGAAGAGCAGCATTTGTCTTCCCGATTGCAAACATCAAAAACTGTTTTATGAAAAGAGAGGGTAGGAAAATCGAGTTCAAAAACCAGTTTATAATGTGGTGGGCAGGCCTAATGAGGGGTGCAGTCACCATTGCTTTGTCATACAACCAAGTAAGTTGATGCTGTTTCGAAACCTAAGAGATCAAGATTTTCGGTTCTGCAGAAGTACTAACCAGCACAATTTGATAATGCAGTTTGCAGACACGACCGAATCAACATCAACGCAAGATGGTTCTTTGATGATTACCAGTACCATCATTGTTGTTCTCTTCAGCACAGTGGTATGCCTGCTTTGTCTCTATAACTTATTTATGTTGCAGTACCGAAACTCTAGAATATATCCATGAATTTTAACGAGTGAATCTGGGCCATTGGAAAAGGCAATGTATGCTATACATTGATGTATAGTAGAAGGGCTCAATGCAGTAAGGTCCATTTTCTCGATTTTTCTTGAGGGCTTCAGAGCACTATGTGCGAACAGACTTTTCACATCATCCGACTAGTGCATTACTATCTCGGGATGGTAGCTTGGGTTCCTGGACTAGTAGATTACCACTGTTTGCACTTAGAGCTCTGAAGCACAAAAGAAACATGGCCATTTTGTACTTGGTTAACTAACTTGTCGCATTACTAAAATCGGTCATTTGAATCTTTTTCCTTCTATCCAAACAGGTATTTGGCTCCATCACAAAGCCATTAATCTCAGCTCTGATACAGCCACATGCAAAAGCAAACATTTCAGATGCGACTGATATGCCAAGTCTAGAAGACTTGAGGGTACTTTTCCTGGAAGCCGGCCAGCCAAGCGAGGGAGGCAATGGTGAACCAAGTGAGAGAGGCAACAGTGAGCCAATCCGAAAACCAAGCAGCTTAAGGTTGTTAATGACACATCCAGCTTCCACAACTGCTCACTACTTGTGGAGAAAGTTTGATGACAAGTTCATGAGACCAGTTTTTGGGGGACGGGGTTTCGTTCCATTTGCTCCTGGTTCACCAACTGGTGCAGCAGAAGATCAAGCTGCAGAACATACTGAACATACCGAACATACTTCTTGAGATCAACAGTTCAAGATAAATGTAAAATTAAAATTTTATTTCATTGTTTTTTTATGGACAATTAAATGTATTAGGAAGCGGGTTGTTCTTGTTTTGTAAAGTAAGAATGTGAAGCTATGCTATAGTTAGAACATCCTTTCTTCCATGATCTAAGAGGGCCCTCTAATAAATATGAATTTCTAGCTATGTCACTGTCGATTTTGTCTATATTTACTTGTGCAATAACGTAAACATTTGTATAAGAAACGCATAAGGAAGTAGGATTACCGCACTAGGAAAAGAATTTTACAAGCTGAGAATTATACATGCGAATGCATTGCCGCTAGTAGTACAGTTTGGTAGTACCTCCATTTGTAAGTAGAAGGTTTAAAGTTCGACACCCTATAGGTATGGCGAGTTCAATATATAACAAGAATAAAGATCCCGTATTCGATTCTTGCTCTCATCCGAAGAATTACTCAGAATTCACTGATATAAAGTCAACTTTATGGAGATCCCCATGAGAGTTGTTTTACTTGTTTTTATCAGTTCGAACCATTGCAACAAAGTCTACTCCATCTTTCAGTTTTGGTTTACGCAATGGAACTCGGGGTGTGCCTTGCAGAGAAAGTCAGAAACGAGGGCTTCTGATGTTCAAGCAAGACCTTAAGGATCTTTCAAATCGGCTGTCATCATGGACTAGTGAAGGAGACTGTTGCAATTGGTCTGGAGTTGTCTGTGACAGCTTCACCGGTCACGTTCGTGATCTCCACCTCAATAATCCCAATCCCTACGTTTGCGTGCCTTTCCTTTTTATTCTTAACTACAAAGGACTTACTTAGTTGGGAGGTAAGATAAATCCTTCTTTGCTCAATTTGAAGCATCTCAACTACTTGGACTTAAGTTACAACAACTTTCAAGGAAATCAGATACCTAGCTTCTTTGGTACTCTTAAATCTTTAAGATATCTTAAACTCTCACAGGCAGGGTTCCAGGGGATGATGCCTCCTTAACTGGGAAATCTCTCAAACCTACGTGTTCTTGGTCTCAGCGATTACATGCTAAAGGCTGAGAATCTCGAAAGGGTTTCCGGTATTTCCCACTTGCAAAACCAAGACATGAGTTTTAGTAACTTAGCAAACCAGCTAATTGGTTGAACGAGATAAATAAGCTCCCATCTTTGTTAGAGTTACGTATGGAGGCTTGTATACTTGCTCCCGTTCCCCCTCCAACCATCATCAATTTACCTTCACTTTCCATCCTTGATCTTTCTTTAACCAGAAATTTGATGCCTAGCTGGGCTTTCAATCTTACAGATCTAGTTTATCTTTATCTCCGAGATTCTGGTTTGCGGGGCACAGTTTCTACCCGTCCGCCCGATCTTTCACCGGACAACCTTTGTAAGTTGATAGATCTAGACCTGTCATCCAACAGTCTCCATGGAAATGTATCTGAAATCTTTGAGAGTCTGTCCGTGTGTAGTTCATATCGAATAGTCATTGTTGTTGGCAAATAATAATCTTTCAGGCCGTTTGACAGACCATGTTGGAAAGTCTACGAAATTTGGCCACCTTGATCTTTCTAGTAATTCAATTAGGTCTCATCTCAGTATCATTAAGTAATCTCTTTGAAGATCAACACCAGCTCAATTGATGTTTGTGTTGAAGTGTAATTTTACCTTGATTCAAGATGATATCCGACCCATGATGATAGGCTAAAAGTTCGATCCATGCAAATGCTAGAAATTTTTTGCATGGATATGTCGGTGAATCACTATTTAGAAAGATCTAACTATTGTACAATGGTGAGGTTGTCATGCAAAGCCCATGTCGGTAGGCTGATTGTAGAATAGCCTAGAACAATGCTGGGATGAAATTAAGTCCATTCCACGAAAGTCGGTTTGGCAAGTCTATAAATATGTAATGGTGTAATGCAAGTAAGAATCAAGCAAGTAGGAAATCAAGCAAGTGAGAAGCAAGAGGAATTTGGTAGGAGTGTGAGTTTTCTAGAGTGTGTCTTTAGAAAGAGTGAGTGTCATAGTTTCTAAAGAGTGTTCTTAAGAGTTTGTGTGTTGTAATATTTTGTGTGTGTAATATAAGTAATTTGTTTACTTATGTTATCTCTTCAACACTTGTGTTAGAGTTGTGTACTCTAATCTTTTCCCAACAATTGGTATCAGAACGGTACGATCAGGAACCTTCCCCAATGAAGTTGTCGAGAATTGTGAGAAGTTTAGTACTTTGCAAGATTATTGGTTAATCTTGTTCGGCTTATCGAAGCTCTGCCGACACAATGGGAGACCTTTAAGTTGTTGGAGGAATCAAGAAGTTGAACAACAAAAATTACAACACATGGACGAAATGTATAGAGTCTTACCTACAAGGCCAAGATCTCAAAAGTGAGAGCAAAATGAAAAAATAAAAAAGCGACAAAAAGGTTGACAAAGAGGATTTTCTTGATATATAATATATAGTAAAAAGAAAAACTCAAAAAAAAATTATTGGATGTATGGAGGTGCAAGTGGTAAAACTGCGAAGCACCGTTTAAATCCTCCTTAAACCCTTTTACGCTGCAAGTCTACAACAAAACCTCCCTCTCTCTCTTTGTGTGTTATCGATCTCTCCATGTTGCTGACAGAAGATCAAATTGGAGTTCTCGAAGATTTGTGATTAACGATGGCTTTCAGAAGCTTACACCAGATTGGAGCTCTCTATCGTACAGCCCAGATCGCAGAATCCTCCCATCTGTGAGTAGAAACGACTGGTTAATGCCCTGATTGGTTGCTGAGAACTTGAAAATTTTCAATTTTTCCCAAGCTTTGGATTGGAAAACAAAATGCTTCTGATGATCAATTGAAATGGGTATTTCAAAGATTGCATCTTCTTTGAATTTCAGGCTTGGAAGCTCAAGAAACTATGCAACTGGTATTTCAAATGGTACTTAGTAATTTGGAATTTTCTGCAAGTGATGGAGTAAATAGTAACTGATTTATTGGGTTGGCGCACAGTTTTTTTTTTTTTTTGTAAATTTAATAATTTTACTTATTTTTTTATCAGTCCCGGAATCTTCCTTCGAGTCAGGGAGTTCCATGACTTTGCGTTCTGCAATGGTAAGTTTCGAACACTTGTAACTTGAATTGGTTTTATGCCAGTGCTAAATTTGAATTATGAGCATGCCTTTTGATTGTTTCTTTATTTCTCATTTCGGCGAGTTGCTAAAACTTACAACTCGAATCGGTTGGATGCCAATGCTAATTTTAGATGATGAACATCCCTTTCAATTGTTTCTTCATAACTTGAATCTGTTTGAACCAATGCTTAATTTGGATTGTAAGCATCCCTTTTGATTGTTTGTTCATTGTGCATTTAGGCTGTGTTGAGTTACTAAAACTTATAACTTGAATCGGTTGGATGCCGATGCTAATTTTGATTATGACCATCCCTTTTTTATTCTTTCGTTGTCTTTCATTTAGGCTGTTGAGTTGCCGCTTTTCTCGAGTGACACAAGGTCGCTATCAACACAAGTAAAAGCCCCTGCACAAGCAAGACAAATGGTATGTTATCTTTCTGAACAGTTTATGTGGATGATGCTCAGGCAGTTCGCTTCTTCTTACTATATTCCATTAGTTCGGTACTGAAACAAGTATCCATTTTTGAAGGTTAGAGTTGTATATGTAATCTTGCTCTCTTGATGAAGAGAACCAATGAACTTCTAATTTTCTTCGTCTGCTCGTTTGCATCACAGATCATAATACCGTGTGTGGTTACCTTATGATATTTGCAAGGTGCTCTTAGAGTAGCCATGTTGAGTCCAGGTTTTATCTATGAGCCTTATACACCTGGTGAAAAAATCTCATTTTTCAAGAGGTTAGTTATTTCAAAAGTGAATTTTATTGTTCTCGTAGATTGTTAGTAATTAGAGTAAACCGGTCACCAGCATGGAACTCTATCGAGGATCACTACATTTAGGCAGGTCTCTCTTTTCACTGTATCGGTAGTATAGTCTTTGTTTTCTTTAGCAATTATAGAAATTAGCTATGAGAGACATACTATGATTAAGAATTACTTATGCTACGATTAAGTTTCTCATTAAACTCTTATAGCTTTAGTTTCACAAGATAAATGTTAGACTTGGTTACTTATATTTTTTTTCTTAATCTCCAGATCATACGTATGAACATTCTGATGTTTTTATGCATCAGATGGTTCACAAGAAGGGGGTGGAAAAGAACAAAAGAAGACACAATTATAGAGGTGAAGCTCTAAGGATCTCTTGTTTTAGTGATTCCAGCTTTTGGTTAATTCTGTTGACGCTTCTTTCTTCTATTCTTTCACAACTGTCCTTCATTCCCCCAAATCTCATTCTAAATTCCGACCCACTCCATTTTTTATGTTTTGGTTTTGGAATGCAACTCATAATAAGTATAGATTGCAGATTGAATTTGATTATTTATATTCCAGTCAATTGAGGCCTAATATTTGACATCTCCGTTCAATATTTCTGGTTTTCCAATTTTCAGCTCAAAAGTGCATATGCCATTTCTAAATTAATAAAAAAGGGGTATTCAAAGGATCTATTCTACAAAGAAGCAATAAACTTATACATGGAGGTATATTTCTCTTTTTCTTCGAGTTTCATCTCGCTAGGTTTTATGCATTCTTTATTTTTATAAATAGTCCTCATAGTAGTGTATTTATAAATCCTTTCAAGTTTGTATTGCTTCTTTCAGTTGCATTATTTGAGTTTCTTCCCGTAGCTAATCTATTCTCCTTCTTCTCCAGATAAATACTCTAATGGCAAATGGGGACAAAAATTCTTTAAGGAAAGCAGTTACAGAGAGAATGTTTTCGGTATGCTTCAGTACTTTTTAGTTTCTCTTAAGCTTTATTTATGCTGCTTTTTTTATGTAAAGGATTTGCTTTTGAAGTTAACGATTATGTATGATCTTCTCGTTTGCAGGAACTCAAGAATGAAATAAAACAAAGAGACTCAATATCGAGTAAGGTTTTCTGGGAAATGGTGGAACCGGTTGTAAAAATACAAACTTTGCGAGCATGACTGGTAAGTGTCTATCTGATTAATATAAATTGTGATTTATGCTATGCAAACACTTCACCATGACGGAAAATGGGATTTACTCATGTTGAGATTATTTGGCTGAATTCTTGATGTTGACCGTTTCATTTTAACTTTTAACTGCTTAGGTTGAAGAAACTCTCTAATCACAGATTGGTGTCGATCGAAATGATCTCGAAAAGGTGTTCATACAGCTTACGCTCGAGTTTCTGACAAAGCAGGTACATGGACAGCTGGATTCACAACGCATTTATAATTTTCATGTTGCTTTCTTTCATTGTCTTGTAACCTAATGCTTTTAATTCAAAACTTTACCTTCTGAGGGTGCTACTCCTTTTTCCTTTTTGTTTTTTTCTGGCAGAAATTCGAAGCATATGACTCGAAGGGTGCTGTTGTTGCTGGAGATAAATCGAAGGAGGTAAAGTGTGATTGAAAAGAAAACACCAGTGCATGTCCGGGTAAAAAGTAAAAAAACCGGTGCACAAGAATATTTACCAGTAACACAAAATATTAAGGGTTCTGTTATTCAAGGTTCTTTTTTCTTCAATATACACAACACCTTTTCTCTCCTTTTCACTTTCGGTTTCTTTCCCATTTATGCTCTTCCAAGTGATGTTGACATGCTTTCTGTGCTCTGTAGGTCCTTGTTCGCGATATCTGGGTATTTGAAAAATCTCTCTTCCAGCGTAAAGCTTTCTGGCGTCTTTGTGGGAGGATTTCTATCTAAGCAAGCCATCCTTCATAAAATCTGCCGTGTTGATGACGAGATATAAGCTGTTACCCAATTGGTAAACCGAGCATATCTCAATTTACCAAACTAGCTGTATGATGTAGCTACGTTTTTTGTTGTTGAATTCAACTTTTAACCCGATCATGCAGGGATATAATACTTCGGGATTGATCCTTAGAGCATTCTAACATTATTTTTATTTCTACCTCGTTCTTTTGCAATTATAAAGGAACTCTCCTTTCGCTATGTGTATCTTCACCGGCAATGTACCGGAAATGTAGGCCAGTACGTCTCAGGCATGCCATTCTTCCAAACGATGCCTTCCTAGATATTCTGTCTTGCTTCATTGGAAAGGGCAATGCCATTTTTAGTATTCTTTCATAAAGTTTCACAAGAAACTTTGTTTTGTTTAAGTGAGAATACCTTGCTTCACAGTTCCAAATTACACCTCCTAAGAATGGTATCCACACAAGCAAACCATTCATCCAAATTTCCGCATTATCTACTCCTTTGTTTGCAACTTTGCATTCGTATTCGACACTTCGCAGTTGGGAAACAAAATCAACAGATGAACAGAAGAGAGGAGCATTTCCAGTTTCTAGGCATTTGCCAAAGGCTCTACAACTTCATCACCTTCAAGCCCATGAAACTAGGCCCTTCGGCCATTTCTGATGCTAACCCTAATGAAGCCGGGACCGAAAGAGACCGAAAGGTTCACCCGATGACTCGAGAAGATGAAACACGAGAAGTATCAACAGTTGCGCGTCGAGCAGAAGCTCCGAAGAAAATGGTCAGCATAAATGACAGGGTGGAGGACATGGAGGAAGCAATGAAGTTACGACGAAAGAGTAAATCGTTCGAGAAGTTGAACTGGTTAGAGCTGGGAAGGGATGAGCCAAGAGCTGTAAGATCAATTCTAAGGGTAGATTCTGATCTGAGCGGGAAGGTGGGCACATTTGTGAATTCAACCACCACCAGATGTTCATAACTTTACCATGGTTTGCAGCTGGAATTATATCAGATTATCATCTGTTGTGTGTACTAGATCACAGAATCTGACTAATTTGGGATGACCAGTTAATTAAATATATTATTAAGATAGTTAATTATGATTGTGTTATAGCCTTTCATTTCCCTTAAAGTTTGGTAATTACGATCTCGTCTTCTAATATTCTCAAAAAATATGCACAAATATATGGAACTGGTTACAAAACTTAAACAAACATACGGAGAACTGGATGGATGCTAAATAAACAGCAAGTTAACATTGAAGATGTGGTTTATATACGGCTTATTGTTTGTTTAATGTCTATAAATTTTGTTTTTTATTGAAGTTATAAACGATTCTATTTACGCATATTTTCAATATTTTTACGAGTTCCTTTTCGGATACCTATGGGGTCGAGAAACTTCAGGTTTAAGATTTCAACCTTTGAAGTAAAGAAAAGAATATGTCCCACCAAAACATTTACAACTTGGTCTGCAATTGGCACAAGGACCGTAATAATTGGGTAGATATTGAATGTGCCTCTCCTCTGAATCTGATGCTGCCCAATGCTAAAGCCACTTTGGAAAATATCTATGAAACAAAACCTTGTGATTGACGTAGCTATTTTCTTTCTTTAGTAGTCCGGAAAGTAGTTTGGAAAAAAAAACAGTAACGGTTGATTCTAAGAAATTAAACGATTGAATTAAAAAGTTGGATAGTGAGTAGCCGAAAACAAACCCCTGACATAGACATGTTGGAAATTTGGGGTGTTTGGGTAGGAAGAAGTGGGTGTGGTGGTGTTGCTTCCCAAGCGGTGGAGTGCACGTTTTAAATTGAAAATGATTAACTCATAGCTATAAAGTTCGTTTGGATGTGCTTTTAACATAACTGAAAGCGTTTTTGATGGAAATGCTTTTGGAACCAATCCTTAGTAAAAATGCAAGTAAATCTTGAAAAAAGCATTTAAAGTGCTTCCTAGAAGAAGCACATAATTGGTGTTTCTTGTATAAAGCACTTAAAGTGCTTTTGGTTCTCAAAAATATTTTTTCTAAAAGCGCTTTGAGCCATTTTAAAAATACATCCAAACGAGTCCATATTTAGTGGGAAAAACTCCAAACCAAGGAGAAAGAGCACCATACCTATGTTACATATCAGCAAAGATTACACCAGAACTAAATCTTAGGGTGTATCTTCAAACCGGTAGCACTCTATGCCAATATGTAATGAAACACGGGCCAAACGATGAGCAATATTATATCTTGACAAAGAATAACACGTCTATGACTCGTGACACATGACACTTTCTCACAAAAGTGCACGATGAGTGAATTTAAATCTATATTTTTTATTCATAACTTTTTATATCATTTATTAGGTCAAACCATCGTTGCAAGTATTTTAAGAATTTGTAATCTTCTTGGTACTATTCCAATTATGGATCCTAACGCTGCTTGTGTTTCAGATTTAGCATCTAAATCAAAGTTAGAGTAGCCTTCAATTAGTATATTACTTTTTAGAATTTTTTAATAGTTTTATTATCACTTCAACCTAGTGAATTTAATCGGTTCCTGATTGGGAGAGATTTTTTTGTTTGTCGGTAGCATGGTTCGTATATTAAATATCGTAATATAAATGTTTGAATACTCAAAAAAATATTTTTAAATATTTGTATTATGACACTGAAATATACAGTATCATGTTCCGAGCACATATAAAAAGTTTTTTTATAGATTTGAACCGTGTCGTCAATGCAGCGTGTGAATAACGATATCTTTATCTGACACGAGCAGATATAATATGATTTTCTGCAAAGCAATATTCAAAGTAATAAATACCTTCTTTGACTCCAAGCACTTCAAGTTTCAGTCGCGTCTATAAATACAGGGTTTGCAATACTCAAATAATAAGCAACCCCTGATTCCACAGAAGGTTTTGAAGAATGGATGCAAGAGAAGACCAGGCCTTTCCGCTGGGAATTCTCCAGAGGCTCTTCAACTTCCTTACGAAAATCATCGAAGCTCAGTCCCTCAAGACGGTGACTCTAGGCAAGCATCATCCGATTTGCAACGACTTAGTTAACACCGAGGTATTCTCCTCATGAGTATAACACTCGTCACATGAATATGTGATAACTCATGTGGAAATATTTCTGGCGACATGCAAGAATCTCCTTATCCAATGAGTTTATGCTCAAGCCAAAGCAGTATAAGGATTCATGATTAGTATAGCTAAGTATATTATGCATGTGATATGCATGTTTATTGTCAAACATTTTATACAACTGATTGAATTAAAGTGTCCTTAATTATTTTTCTGTGTGTTCAACTGGGTTGATTAGTTTGACTCAGGAATATATTTTCATGTCTTGCCATCCAAGTTAGATCTGGAATTTTGCTTTGTCAATCGAACATTTTTAGCCTGCAGAGATTGCTGCAACAGGAACTAGTACTACACAGTACTACTATTAGTGAGATTGTCTCGCTTCTCAAATTTCTTTCTAATTCATTGAATTTTCTATATTAAGTTTATGAAATCTAATTGTAATCTTCCAGATAATGAACTTAATTTAGAAAATTCAATAAGTTTATGGAGTTTGTAATCTTCGTAATCGTAATTGTAATCTTCCAGATAATGAACTTAATTTTCTATATTAAGTTTATGGAGTTTGTGCTCAAGCCAAAGCAGTATAAGGATTAATGGTGACAGGCCAAAAGATTTCATAGATAGATTATTCATGATTAGTATGGCTAAGTATATTATGCATGTGATATGCATGTTTATTGTCAATTATTTTATACAACTGATTGAATTAAAGTGTGACATCCCGTCCCGGAAATATCGAAACGCACATTTGAAATTACAATTTTACCCCTAGTTCGTTACTTTACGTGTAGTTTTGTGTTGTGTGGTGTTGTAGGACCACACACACACTCACACACTCTCTTTCTCTCCCGTGTTTTCCTCTCCCTTTGTTTCTTTTCTGTCATTTCTCTCTCTCTCTATCCGAGTCCTCCATCATTCTTCTTCCTTCTGAAAACGTACGGACGACACCCAAA